TAATGCTGACATTTTTTCTCTCCTTTCCCCCGATTCTGCTTTGCGGACATTTTCCACTCTGCGACTATTTTTGTTTCTCTCCCCCTGTTTCTAGTTTGCGGACTTTTTCTCTTAATTGGAGAAATAAAATGTCCGCAATCAAGCTGTAGCCGGTCATTTATATCGCGTAGATAATATGTATAGTTTTTTTTTTTCTACGATAAACCTAAATTGAAACTCGAGACAATAATTTACATCATATTAATATGCGACGAAAACAAAATCATTAGACTGTGCAACTACATCAGACATGAGATAAATGACAAAGATGATAAATGAGAACTGATGATAGGCTGTTGTCGGTCATATGTATATACATACATACATACGCATATTAGTATTCGAGAACAAAATGACCTCTTTGATTTAAGCTGCGTTTTTCCCATTCATATTAGCAAATAAGAAATCAATTTTCTACATCGGTCCACTAATTGCCATACTCAATAATTGATTTCTATTATTGTATACTTTTATATTTATATACATATGCACATATGTTTGAATCGAGAAAAACTAGTAAGTGAACTAATTCACATTTATATTGATTATTAGAATAAAAAGAAAGAAGGAAATAATAAAAAGTTTGATTGGATCATCAATCAAGATCTAGTTGTGGATTTCGAAAAGATAATTTGTTGTTGCTGTTGCCGTTGCCACTTCTGTTGTTGTTGTTCTTATTTTTTTTTCTTGTTGTTTTTGCTTGGGATATTTTCTTATGATTCTTTATTATCATATCAGTCAAGTGCATACACATAGGCTTCATTTTTATGTGTAACGACATCAACGAAGAACCAGGAGGAGAAGGAGAAGAAGAAGAGGAAACTTTCTTTTGCATCTTTCATAATCGACGATTGATCATCATGTGTTAGCTTTTCCTACAGCTGAAATTATACTTGTCAAGTAACGAAATCGTTTAGAAGGAGAGGAAAATATTAGTACCATCATTTGTCTAGTATCTTTACCATACAAGACAAATAGACTAAAAACATAGAGATATCACATTTTGTACTAGCAAGTCAATGATAGATCATGATCTCAACATAACCATCTTGATTTATTCATCCGCCCACGTTTACGCTCTTAGTTTGTAAACGTAGGCACATGTATACGACGACAACTTCTTCTCCAACATCGTTGTCCAATAGTCCCAATTCAGTAATAGAAAATCATTGTACACCGATAGGATCTTCGTCAACTCATCATTACGGACGTACGACATCATATAATCGTACATCGATTAAACGTACAATAACAACAAGAAAAAATTATGTATTCATTGTAGGTTTTATTTGAAGATTTTTAAAACAAAACAAAATCAACTGAAACACAAAATGTTTTAGAAAGAAAAATATGTTATATTTGTTGTATTTGTTTAGACAACGACGGGTAAAAGTCGAAGAGAATTGAGTGAAGTACATGGTTTTTCTGAAGAGCAAATTGCTGGTAAAGAACTTTGCTCTCTATTAATCATTATTGATAGTTTCTATAGGTTATCTGTTTATTTATTTATTTGCAGTATTTGAAGAATCATTTTCTTTGCTGGATAAAGATGGCGATGGAAATATATCAAATTATGAAATTCGTTCATTAATGCATTCACTGGGTTATTCACCAAGTGAAGAAGATATTTCAACTGTGATATCAAAAGTTGATACTGATGGTAAATGTTTTTTTTTTCTTCTTCTTAGAATAGAAAATTGTCATGTTTTATTTCAATAGGTAATGGAAGTGTTGACTTCGATGAATTTTTAACTATGATGCGTTGTCGTCGATCAACTGGCGAAAGTGATAAAGAATTACATCAAGTTTTTAAAGTAAATTTTATCTCGATACTAAATTTTTTTTTCTATTTAATTTTATTTTTAATAAGGTTTTTGATAAAAATCGAGATGGTTATATTGATAAAGATGAACTTTATGATATGTTATCAAGGCTTGGTGAACATCTTACAGAAGTAAATAGAAGGTATTTACTGTATTTAGTTATATTTTCATTTGTTATAGGAAGATGTAAAAGAAATGATTGAAGAAGCTGATTGTCTTGATCATGACGGAAAAGTATCGTATGAAGAATTTCTAGCAATATTATATTCAAAATAACTTTTAAATTTTAACAATAATTGCAATAAGTACATTTTCTTTTGTAAATAAATTTTTTTTTGCCTGTTTGTTATACGAAATGCTGCAATAATTATTTTTGTCTATCAGCTTACATGATAGCCTGGGCAGCGCCCTCACAAAACAGTATACACGTATATATATATATATATATATAAGAAGAAAAAAAATGTAAATAAAACAAAAAAAAAGACGCATCTTAGAGAAAAGAAAACAGAGAAGTAAAGTATCATTAGAGAGCACCAATATTGCAAAAACACAAAAAGAAAAAAATGAGATTTACGGTTTTTTTTCGTTTCTTTCGAAAGATGAAAACAAGCACACGCTTAGATTATCAGTTAAAACCATAGATCGCAGCGCTTGTCAGGATTCCAGCGAAAAAATTATTTACAAACGACGTCCCCTCGGGATTTATCAGGACACTGCGATGTATGTTTAAAATGGAAGCTGGCTTTATTATTTGTTTTTATTCATTTATGGACGGATAAATATTGATAATGTTTAAATCACAAAATTGTACAACAAATTCGTTTTTCACGATCATCATCTTCAATATGACCATGAATTTCCATATATTTTTTGGAAGAATAATTCGGTATTGGATCATTTTTTGTTAAAGAATGATTACCATTTGACATTTTCGTATTATTATCATGATTGATTGGAATGGAAGCTAGAGGTAATGGAATTGATTTTGGAGGCGAAGGAGGCGGAGGAGCAGGAGGAGGAGAAAAAATAGCTGTTGATGCAGGAGTGCCAATCCCGCGGCGTCGTTCTTCACGTCGTCGTTTAACAGCACTTAATGTATCAGCAGTTGCTTGAGTTGGTGGTAATGGTTGTGGAACTTTTAATGGTGGTAATGGTATTTCTGCAGCAGGTATACCTGATGATCTTTTTATTGGAACTGTTGTTGTAGCGGTGTCGCGTACAGTTGAATCAGTAGTTGTTGTACTACTTGAGCATTCCTCTTTAGTTATTGGTTTTGATGGTATTGTACCATTAGTTAGCGTAGGATTTGTTGCATTTTCATCAGCATCTTCCTGTATTTTATCTTTCGCTTGTAGAACATCAAGAAAATTTTCATTTAATTTTTTAACTTTTTCTCGATCGCGTAATGACGCTCGACGTATTGAACTTGTTCGATTTAATGATGAACCACTACCATATGGGGATGATATACTCGAACGAGATTCATATAATGTGCCTGTTCGAGGTGTTGTACCATGTGGTAACGAATTTGTACCAAAATGAATACGATTATTCATTAGAATAGGTGTACTCAATTTTTGTTCTAATTGAGCAGCTGCAGCAGCAGCCGCAGCGGCTGCCGCTTTAGCTTGATTACGTACACATTGTTCTCGAAATTCAATCATATACGACCGTATATCAGGATCTTCACATAGATCAACAGCTGAACGACCATCGGGGATTTTTTCATATATATCTGCCCCTGCTCCAATTAACTGAGCTAGAAATTAATTAGAAAAAAAAGGATTATTAGTATTCGTATTTCTTTTTTTGCTGAAACAAATTCTTACTTAGTGTAGGTTGTTGACACCAAAATGCTGCAGCATGAATTGGACACCAACCATCAGCATCTTGAAGATTAATTGATACATGTTGCTGAAGTAAATATTCAACAACACTTAGATAACCATTTGCACTAGCGATATGAAGTGGTGTGGCACCCTCATCATTTCGATAGGATAATATATCATCTATTGAACGGATTGATGTTAAAGATTTTTTAGCTAATAGGTTTAAATCAATTAACATTTGATTTTCAACGTGTCCTCGTTTGTTATCGATCATTTCTTGTGTTATACCAATACGATCCATTTGAGTTTCAATATAATCAAGTGTTTGATCATCATCACATATATCATAGGGCATATTTCCATCAGCATTTAAAGCTAGTAGTTCGGCATTATTTTCAATAAGAATTTTACATATCAGTATATGACCGCAAGTAGCTATGAAATAAACAAATAACCAAATTAAATAAGTTATTGAAATAGAAAAAAACAAAAAAAAACGTGAATCAGAAAAAAATATAGTTTAAAATCATTTTTGTACTTCTTTCTTATTTTTATAATCACGATGGGCAATTTCATTGCGATTAATGACCTTCATCAGATTTTGAGATTTTTCACATGAGCACCTACACAATATAAATGTCCTTCGCATCAATAATACTCTTATTGAATACCTCTTACTGAACATAGAGTAAAGAATAAGATGACGTTTTACACATCAAGTTGACAGCCAAGAGTGTAGACAGAAATTCTTGAGAAATAATCGAGTTCATATATTTGTAAAAACAAAAAAAAAGAACTTCAAACTATCTTATTTGAAAAAAGAAGCATTGATAGAAAATTTACATAAAACTATCGATTAGAATATCATTTTCTTTAGAAATACTTATTCTTTGTTGAAGTCTATTTAGCATAAATTTTTCTTTTACCTTGGACGACTTTGTTGCCTGCAGAAACCAGTCTATACTTTATTTGCAGGCCTTCAAAGTTTTGCTCATAACGTCTAATTGATGAAGCTCACACAATTTGCAAACATATATTTGACAAGAGAACAAAATTCTGATTTGCTTCTGATGCTGATTCTATTTAATCGATTGATAATCAAACGAGCATTTAGTTTTGAAATTGTATTCACTATATGTGTCACTCTATGAAAGAAATCTATGAACCTCCATGAAGCAATACAATATTTGTATTTCTTAACAAACAATCTCAACATCTGGTGTATCATATAAGAATTTTTGTTTTGTTTTTTTAACCATTCCCCGTGGAAAGGCGAGTACTTGTGAATAACTATTCTGTTATTATGAAATAACGATATAACAGAGAAAAAGAATTAATGTCACTTTCGATGACCCATAAAACATTAGTTCAGTACATCACTTCAATCTAATTCAACTCCTGTTAAATATGAATGCATTACATAACACAATTCTGTGAAATGGTTAAAATGTTGCGTATTTTAACTTTAAAAAAGCTTCTGCTGTTATCTACTGATAGAGAAAACTGAAATATTTTACATGTTAATGCAAAACTAAACAATATATTTACCTGCAGCATGTAGTGGAGTCCATAGATCTCGATCTTTTGCATTGACATCACCTCCATGTTCAATTAACAGTCGTAAAATTTGATCGCTATTATCGATTGAACATTGATGCATAGGTGTAAGACCATCTTCATTGGCTGTATTGGGATTATACTTTCCTGATTTAAGAAGACTACGTACTTCGTCAACATCTTGGCGAGCAGTAGCTAGAATTAAAAATAAATAAATTATCAATCAATCAAACCTATAAAAGCCCTCCAGTAATCGTAATTCATTTCGTCAGCAAATTATATGCGAACCATAAAAAGAAGACGAAAGAATTTTTATTGCACCCGATAAAAAGCGTTTGAGGATATGTTTTAGCAACGAAAATAAAGTATTCTTTTTTTAAGTTGAAAAAGTAAGCAAGTAAAATTTAAAAAATATATGTGATCATTTTATTTTTCTTTTAAAAATATTTATTTAGTTGAACTCGTTGTTTATCTAACAATTATAATAGTGCAAGAAGAAATGATTTACCTTCTAATAAGACGACATTTACAGGAAATTGAACTAAAAATTGTTTGGTTCGAATTGATTTTAATTTTCTGTTATTTGATATTGATGTAACAGCTCCATTTGTCATACTCGATGATATAATCGTACCATTACCTAATGATGCTTCCCGTCGTGTCCAATTTGCAAGTTGTTGCTGTCGTCGTCGCTTAGCATGTTTTAATCTTTCTTGTGCTGTTAGTTTTTCTAACAATATCATTTCTTGAACTAGCTCCGAATGTTCCATTTTTGTAGCTTTCTTTATTTTTGTCTGATCAACAACTTACATATTTTGTATTGTTGTCAAATTGCATACATATATACATATATATATATATATATAATAGACAGTAACTAAAACAAAAAAAAAGAAAAGAATAGAATAGAATAAACTGCTACATCATGATAATGATTATTATCGCCGTCATAAAAACAAGTCGTATAGAAGAGAAGTATAAATATATAATTTTACGATTTCGAATAGAGTTCTTTAGTCGAGTTGAAAGTCTTCATGGGAATAATAAGAAATTCTGTCAAGGCGAAAAATAGGAATGAACGACATCACTTATTTCATTTGAAATAAGTGAGGTGTTCACAAATTTCTTTCAATTAAAAGTAAAACGATGTCGTCAAAATGAAAGAGCTTGACGAAGAGAATCGATGTGCTGTTTGGAAAAAAAAGAAAGAGAAAGTTATCGAATTTTATTCTTTCTTTTGCTCTTTCTTCAGTCTTCGTTTTCAGTAATAAAACTTTTCGTGTGTCTCCTCTCGAATTAAGGCAGGAAGAGAGAAAAAGTAGGCGTCAACCTGACTTGTATAAAAGCTGTCAAGGTTTTCATTTGAGAACATTTTATGACACAGTACCATACATACGTACATGAAAAGGACATCTTGTTATTAGTCGACGACTTCCATTATTCTTAATAAAGTTGTTAAACGACGAGAAAGCATTTACTTAGTTAATAAGTCTTAAATTGTATGTAATCTAAAATAAAACGAAGTAATCATATCTACATAAAAACGAAAAAAAATTCTTTGTTTGTTCCTTTTGAAAAGTTCGCAAATGAAAGAATAATAACTTCAAGGGTTTGACAGCTAAGCAAATTTTTTCGTAACTATTAATATCTATCTCAATATGCTACGAACAGTAGGATAGATGATTAGGTTTTTATGTATTTATTTTAATCGAAATAATTAGAATAGACATACGTATATTCTTGAGCTTTAATACCAGAAAAACCGGAACAACAAAATTAAATTGGTAAGCTAGACTAAAAGCACAACCGAAACAAACAATATTAAACATACAAGAAAATGTTAGAAAGCGGATTCTAGCTGAGTAAAGATCATTCCTTTTATTTATTGTTTTAGCCCACAACATGCGCTCGAACAAGTGTATATTGAAGAACAAACGTATCCTGAGGTGCGATTTGTTGGGGTTCGTTTTTAATAATCGATTTTTCAGGCTTAGGTAAAGCAAATGATCCAGCAGCTGATGATTGAATTTGAAAACCTAATCTTAATAATCGTTGTAGAATATCTATATAGGTTATCGAACCAAGATCAAAGCTTGAATCATAACAATCATTGCCTATGAACGCTCGATCAGGGGCTGTTGGTAAAATTTGTGTTATAAATTGTTTATCACCATGTAATTGAAAATGTTTCGAGTTCGATGAAAGAACATTTCGAACAACTAATGAAAGTATTTCGAAACGTTGGTTAACTGCCATTATTGACAAAAATGTTATCTAAAAACAAAACAAAACAAACCATAACCAAGAAGAGCTTTTTTGTAGCGACAAGTTTTAATCAATCGTCTCTTAGAAAACAACACTAGGAAATCAAAAAAAAAAACTGATAATACATATGCGTAAACACACACATAATACCCTTGATGATGAAACAGCATCAGCAGAAAAAAGACACTACGAGACTAGAATAATATAGAAAGAAAAATCGTTAAATGAATAAAAAAAACAACAACAACAACAACAAACAAATCGATAGTTCTTCTGAGTAGAAAAGCCAACGTATTCTATTATACTAGTAGATTGATACGTTTCTTTCTTTTTTTAAGAATTGCGTTTGACAAGTATGTATTGTGTACGAAGAAGACCTTGTGTACCAGCGCCTGATGAACCTTCAATATGAAAGCCAGCTTTAAGAAAAGCTTCAAGTACTTGTGTATAAGATTGTCGATCGGGATCAGCGGGAGAATTATAATAACCCCAACGAAAAGCTGTCTCCGATGATTTAGGTAATACTTGTTTGATTATATCACGAGCTCCATGCTTAAATAAATAGAAAAAGAATAAAATCGAATTTTATTTATAGGTATTATTCTTTTTACCAATTCAAAAAATTTGCCATTTCCAGTTGATAACCAAATAACCATTGATACAATTTCGAGACTACTTGCAGGAGCGCTAGATGAAGTTTGATCACCTTCCATTTTTCTTTTTTTTAGGTACTTTAAGTTTATACGAATCTAAACAATAGACAAAAATCACGATAAGCTAAACAAAGACGAACGAAAAGTCATGTTCATTTGTTTCTTTCTTAAGTAAAGTTAAACATCTTTTCACTATGATTTATCCTGATCTATATCTGTCTCTCTCTCTGTCTCTCACTGCAAATATTATCTACGAATCATAATCGCTGCAGTTGATAATAGAATTCGAGAATTTTTCAATAAATTCTATAAATTTTTGATACAAAAAAATCTTTTTATTTGATATTTAGAATCAATAGAATGTTCTATTAGAAAAATATAGACTAATATACTCTGTAAATGTACGCCATCTAGACATATGTCGTTTTCAACTAGCACAACACAATAATTCACATCAATGCAAAAGAAAAGAATGAAACTTTGAATTCTCTACTTTTTATGATATTCAGCAGTAGAAAACTTTTGATGAGAATCTTTATTGCTATGTATTTTGGGCTCTTATCAAGTCACATTACTTCGTAGTAGACGACTAGATTCAACTCTGATACTTACATTTTTCTTCAGAAGGATACGTGAATCAAAGATACAAACTATGCTTTTTAAATTTTCAATGTAAACTTGTATAACATTGGAGACCTCATGGTCAATCATAAAATGACACCATGTAACATATCGTATTTTTTTATACATGGTTATTTATCAACTACTTGTATTTTTAAATTTGAAAAACAAAATACATTGAATCTAATATTTTTTGCATTGCCAATTTGTAATATTCAACGGAAAATAGCCTGCAATTATGACAGTATGATTAGAATTCAATTAAAAACAACAATCATTTGTATTGATATAAGAAAATCCAGTGGTCAAATATTTTACTATCTTACATCGATTATGATAAGTTTACATGAATTCTTTATACGGTATTGAACATGAACTAGAATAAGTCAATATTTATTGAACGAGATAGGCACGTTCTCGTTGTATATCATGCAAGAGCTATTAGTAAATTGAATACTAAATATTTACGTGTCTGAATTCAGTTGACACTAATCTTATTTGAGAAGGAAGAAATAAAAACGCAGTTTGTTCGATAACTTTGATATAGGTAACTTTATTTTTAAATCCAAGCGATTTATTTTTCACTAAATACTTTTGCACATTAGAATCCTGTTTCTTTTTTTTCTCTTTGTTCGTACATAATATCATTCAATGAAAATCGACTTAGTCTTATTTTTTTTCTTTTCTGTTACTGAACTTGTACATAGACACCTATGGTGTTAATAAAGATCACTGACGTATTGACAAAGTCAAAAGATAATAATAATGATAATAATGAGAAAAAGATGGAGAACAATAACACAACAACAACAAAAAAACAGAAAACAAACGCAAACCAGAAACAATACCTATACCTGTTTACTTTTCAAATCGTATATAATTCCTGAGATGAATAAAGTACAATGAGATCATAACAAAAACTACTAAGGTTCAGCTCTTTGTCATAAATTTTTACAAAAAGTAAGATATCTGAGATAGAATTTTCAGTAGAAGGCGACGAAGAAAAATTGCGTAAAGAACAAGAATAAACAGGAAAAAACGAAATAGAAATGCAGAGTTTTGATCTTAGATTATCTAATACACACACACACACGCGCACACGTGGTAGCACTGCAACTTATCACACAAGAAAAAAAAAACAGATGGTTCATTCAATACTGTCAGAAAAGAATTGTTCGAAAGAAAAAACAAAAAATAAAAAAAGATCTATTTCAATTGAAATTTTGAACATTAGTTTCATTTGTTAATTCATCGATTTCTTCGACTACAGCCTCCTCCTCTTCTTCTTCGTCTTCTTCATCGAGCGAATCAATTGTTTGTTCATTTGACGATGTTGATTCTTCATTGAAACATATCCATGGATGTTTAAGAGATTCATGAACTGTTGCTCGACGTCTTTGAAAGAATGATTTAAATATAATTACAATAGAAAGTCACTTTTTCTAATTTCTCACTTCGGGATTCGAACAATTAATTGTCGAATGAGATCAATACATTTTTTTGAAACTTTTTCAAATAAATCCGATGGAAAATCAAGAATACAATGTGTTATATTATTTTGTGTATCTAATTTTGTAGTACCACCAAATGGTGTATGACCAGTTACAAGTACATAAATTAATACACCAATATTCCACATATCAGTAGCACATGTTAATGGTTCATAATTAACAACCTCAGGTGCTTTAAAAAAAGAGAAACGATTCATATTCATACAGAGAAAAATTCATTGTTGTCTTATTGTTTTTACCAAGAAAATCAGTTGTACCAGACATTTCTAATAATCGTTGATTAGTTAATACACGTGAAAGACCAAAATCACATAATTTTATTTGTGTACTTGGCCATTTTTCCATGAGAAGAATATTTTGAGGCTAAAAACGAGCATTAAATTTAATTGACATTTTTTTCTAAAACAATTAAATTTACTTTTATGTCAAGGTGAACAATTTTATTGTCATGAAGGAAAGCTACAGCGTCTAAGACTTGTTTAGTAACATGCATAGCTTGTATTTCTTCTAGACAACCTTCTAGTTCAAGCGCTAATTGCAAATCGCCTTGTTTCGCACTAGAGTAAAAGGTGAAAAATTCTTTTCTTTTTTTGATTTAAATATTTCTATTCTACTTACTATTCAAGAATAAAAATTGCTTCAGTCGGTAAATCAAATACTTGAAGTAGTGAAACAAAATTTTGATGTTTATGTGATAATTGAAATATTCGTAGTTCATTGAGTGCATGCTGAATATTACGTTTTTTAATTATTTTAGCTGCAAATATTTGGTCGGGTGCATCTTTTTTCAAACATTTTTTAACAGATGAAAAACGACCTCTATGAGAGAAGAAATAAAATTATTGAAACATCATGTGAATACGAAAAGAGGAAGATTTATTTTCAATTACCGGCAAAGATCTTCAGTGATATTATAGATGGAGTCAAATGATACTGTAGCACAACGATGGGAAAATTCACCGGGCGCTGCCGATTGAATCATGCCTGTTGTTGGCGATGGTGTCAATGATAGAACTGATGCCGGACTCGGAGAATTCTAAAATAAGAAACAAAACATATTATATATATATATACGATAAGATAAAGAATCAAACCATGCACAAATAAACACTGCAGAGAGAGATAAGTACCTTTCTTATTAAGTTTTAGAATAAATTAGAAAAAAATATTTGATTTTATTAAATAGACTAGAGTAGAAAAGAGATGGTTCTAATTGGATTTATTGTGATTTAACTGTGTACTTACATGTAATCGGTGTCGAAAAAGTGGGTTACGAGTACGAGTAGGTGTTTGACTACAACACACATCGTGCAACATGGCTGAAATTAAAAACAGAGAAGGAAAGAATTATCTGAAATAAAATCGAATTAAATTATAGAATAAAAAAATGATTTGATTTATCAAGTGTCGCGACGTCGGGACAGAACATTATCTACGGAACACCTTCGCTTCCTGTCAATGCATATAGGAAAGGCATTGCTTACGTATGGATATGAATGCATGCATTAACCTTCTGCGAGGTCGCGTCGGCGCGTTCGTTCATTCATTCATTTATACATTTCTTTTGCTGCTTTCATGCGTCGTCAGGTTCTTTCTGCGGTTATATTGCATGATGAGAGCACGAACGAATATTGCATTGCATACATGTACTACTTATTGATTGGTAAAAGTGTCAAGGGCAAAAAGTGGACCTCAATGGATTGTAAATAATTTTGCTTGCTAGATAGCGCCATCTGGATCCAGATAATGCGCATATACTCATTAGAACTGTAATAGTTAATAAATAATAGTAGAAAAGGATTTGGTAGTCTGGACTATGAGTTATTGGTATAAATTAGAAAAATTTCAATAGAAAACCGAGAGAATTCTTATTATTGAATATGGAGAAGTTCGAGGGAAACAAGCACAATATGTACGGCTGTCTTCTATTCGTACTATCTAATTATAGAAGTCCTGTCTCCACATTTCTATCGTCAGCTCTGTTGTACTATTGTTTTTCTTATGTTTATTTCTTATTGGTATCGTAGATCTTCAACAGATATTTCTCTCTACTATAATCTGCACAGCGGTGGAGACAACTAATAGATCGATATAGGCTTATTAAAATATTCACAGAAGAATAAAGAGGAAAAAAAATCCCATCTGCATACTTAATTAAATATAATATATCAGTATCGAATAGAAATTTGAAACTTAAAGTATAATATACAAGGCAGCAAACATTTTCAAAGCAATGAAAACATCAGGTCGTATAATGACATTGTAAACGGCTTAGCCAAGCAATGAAACACGATACCAATATTAGAGTTAAAAAATAGTTCGTTGAATCAATTAATAGATTATTGTCATTGGTGGTTTCAAATCAATAGATATTTTTCATCATCAATGACATTCGTTATTCACGATAGATTTTGCTGTCCGAAACTTGCTTAGATTCAATAGAATAATTTTAATCTAAAAATAAATTAAAGAAATCAAAGAAATGCATCGATTTGTTAAATATTATCGATCAAAAAAAATCGAGATCGGAAAATAATTACATCTATTCATCATACACGACTATCTCTATTTATGATAGATTTAATATAAAATACGATAATGATTAAATTCAAAAAAAGAAAGAATTTTTTCTTCTCAGTTCTGTTTCACTATACCATATCATCAATATTATTATACTATTCTATTCGATTTATTCATAAATGATCTGAAATTCAAATTTCATTATTTTTTATTTCTAAGGAACGAAAATCTTTCATTTTTTCTGCGCTTCTTTTCTCTTCTCTATTTTTCTAAAAAAAAAAGATATGTTATGCAATGAAGGACATCGGCAAGCTCTTAAAGCACAAAAAGAACGTGATAAAACACAATATAGGTTGATTAAGATTCAATCTTTGCATAATTTTCAACCATATGTATGTTTTGTATATCTATGTATATAGAGAATACACGGGTGATCTTGGTCATCCTCTTCTTTATGCATTCGTACCAGATCATGCATTATTATCGGATGATGATAGTCATACACAATTACTCAATTGTAATCTATTTGATACACTTGATTATAAATTTCAACTTTCTTCTCTACCTGATCTAAAACATGAATCATATCAAATCGATGGTGATCTTAATTTTGCAAAAAACGAAAAAATGAAATATAAACTTAGCCTTGATGAAATCGAATTTAATGATTCAGATTATGATTCAGAATTAAGTGATATAGGTATTCAAAGAACGGCATAAAATTACAATACGATACAAAAGGATATCGTTGGTTCTTTTTCTCTTAGATAGATTTATTAATAAACAAGATCCTATTCAAGTATATCGTCAAGCATGTAAACGATATCAAATTCATCCACATCACAGTGTTATTGAAGGATTAAGTAGGGATATTATCGATTTATCTGAAATGTCAATAAATGATCTTGATCTAAAAGCGATTTGTCTTGCATTACGTGTAGATAAAAATTTCTGATAGGATTGTTCATTATTCTTGAATCATAGATTCATACACAAATGAAATACATTCGTTTAAGTGCAAATAATATTACGGCACAAGGTTGTGCGTACCTTCAAGAAACACTAAAAGATAATTATAAAATAGAAGAACTTGTTAGAAAAATATTTTTCAATACAAGTTAACAAGTTACTTCTATGTTCTTTTTAGGATATTTCAAAAAATCCAATTAGAACCGAAGGCATTGAAATTTTATCTTTACTATTTATAAATGATGAAACAAAAATATCGATTATTAAGATATTAAATTTATCTTGTAAACCAAATTTATTAAAAACATTAGAAAAATCGTCACTCTCATTTTCTACTTAGCATGTGAACTTGTCGATTTAGATGGACCAATTATTAGAAAAATTATTCAAGTGATTCATGGAATAGTAGTTTTATGAATATTGCATTAAATCTTTTTAAGGGAGGTGATATGCTTCAAGAATTATACCTAAGTGGAAATCAACTTGGTGCAATCACATGTAAAAATATTGGATTAGTATTAAGTAAACAAAAAATTCTATGTAAAACCTTTTCTCTCAAATACGGATCTCAAGTCACGTAGATTTTAATCTTATTTTCACGAAATATTACAACTATAGTGAATAGATACTTTTGAGTGCCAGATCATCATGTCCAAGAAAGATATTCATTCAACTGACGTCGAACTAAATCATTTGATGATTCAGCCTTCATTCTTTACGTTTATTTAAGTCTATGCACTCAAAAGTATGCCAAAGTATAATACGTACTAGAATTATAAGCTCTTAATTTTTAACTTGAAGAAATCGATGACAAGTTCAAGACCTCAAAAAAAAGCCTCATAAAAAGAGAGTATAATTACAAAAAGAGTTTTTTTTTATATGGTAATTCTAATGTTTATTTTAAAAAAAATCTAGAGCACTTAGACGACTTATCAGACGAAATAGAACTGAATACATACAATGAAGGTCAATAGAGAAGTCGGAGATGTGCAACTCAAAAGAAGATAATGAGAAAAACATTTTCCCCTTATTCTAGAGACAATAGAAATTTCAATGATACAATCGATCGAAAATTTATTGAAATATTTCACTAAAGCAAGATCAAACTATAATCGAGCTTCTCGTACAGTTACTTTAATTGTAATTTTTTTTCTATAAATTAGAGGACGCACCTGAATTAAGAATTCTTGATTTAAGTTGGAATATGATTCGCGACTATGACATACGTCCTATATGTAATAGTTTAAAAGTAATATCATTTGATGTATACACATGTACATACATTTTTTTTTTATTCAATGCATATATCAATAAAAGAATAATCAATCACTTGAAAGACTTGATTTGATGATGAATGGATTAGGTAATCAAGGTGCTATACTTATCGCGAAAATGTTATCAAGTAATGAAACTTTAATTGAACTTGATATGTCAAATAATCGTATTGAAAAGGATGGAGCAAATATATTTGCTTCAAGACTTGAAATGAATCGTAGATTGAAAAAATTATGGGTAAGAGTTATAAAAGTATAGCTATAATGATACTCATTGATAAAAATTTATTATATAATGTAAGTTCGGTAATAATAACATTGGTACACTTGGTTCTCTTGTTCTTTTAAAAGCCATTGATCATATAAAAAGTCAAGTTGAATATCTTAATATTGAAGTAAATCTTTCTCAAATAAAATATAATAAACTATCACTTGTATTTTTTTTAAGAATGTTCTTGTTAATGATGATTTTCTTAATTTATATACACAAATTAATCAATATTTGAGGTCACTGGAAGTTGTACATGGTGGAATACGAGGAAGATTAGGACGAATACATTCATTAGGTAATATAAATTTGTAGGATAAAATTAAACAGATCGATTCTATTTAAAAGTACCCGGCTTTACCGTTATGGATGATATTGATTTACGATTTCTCGATACGAAATCATTGCATGCAATGTTTCAACGAGATCCATTTAAAATTCTTGGTCGTATGGCTAAAGAAGGTGGATACGATTTTTTGAAAGCACTCAAGAAATGGGACCTCGAAGAACATGGATATTTAACATATTCAATCTATATTATTGATTTTCCAAGTGCCGTCAAGGTACGTATTACATCTAGCGAAAAAATCTTTGATTCGTTTTTTTACAATCTATTAAATTCGGTTAAATATTGAATAAAAAATAACCATAGCTGTTTAGTATTCAATTACTATGACTAATGTCTGCGTATATGCTATAGCTACTAGTTATTAAGTGATGATACTACTTACAGTATAATAGAAGAATAAAACTGAACCCACAGAAATCTACATGTCAAAATGAGAAAAATAGAGATATGAAAGTTTGAACATCGGTAGATCTATTTTGATTTACTTTCATAGAATTACATCTACAGAGTAGTACATAACGTTGTGGAAAACATTACAACCTACATGTCTTCGACAGGCAAGAAAATTAATTAAAAGACAAATCAACAATTCAATGACATACTTTTTTTCTTCAAATACGTACTGATAGTTCTTTTTTCCTCTCTATCTATATATAAACAAAAATAATAATACTGTAGAAAAAGCAACTCCGATAAATGTATCCACGTCAAGCAGATATTTTTGAATACTGACAGATACGTAGATGGAATTCAATCGAAGAATCAACTGAAATGTTAGAATAGGAACGTACAAGACCAAGTTGCAGCTTTCAACAATAGGAACTTCATAATATTAACCCTGTAAAAGTACTCGAGACATCTATTAAATTTTAATTAATTAATTTGGAAAATTAATGCGGAGAAAGTTTTACATCAATATTTTTGAATCAACCTTGAAGAAAAATTGAATGTAACAGAAGAGCACGTATTTTCTATCAGATATATGTATATCTTCCCATAGCGATGACTCAGAAAAAAATGGCAGAATTTTCAGTAAAAATCCGGCAATAATTCAAGACATTAATATGAGTGCGACGCCTGAATAAAAGATTATATTAATATAAAAGATTCATATCGATGGCGTGCGAGACATTTCAAATTCTACTGACAACCGTGTAAAATTCACATAATAATATCAAAATACACAAGGAAAAGGTTTTGTCATTCTTGTGTGAAACATGACCAACGATAAATGTTGAAGTATACGAATGAAACGTTGTGACCTTCTCCTGTCCCAGACCAACACAGAAACTGTTGATATATAATCATAAATTATATATCAATAACGTCCCGTTATAACATATTAGAACTACTCGCTTATTGCATATCTGAAAGATTGACGGTAACATAGCGTAAAGAATGTATCATAAACTGTGTAGATACAAAGAAAAAATATAATACTTCTTTCATAAGCAACAGCAGGCGTGCTGAGTTTTGCATTTTAATAATTATTGTATAGGCATTGTTCGAACAGCTTACTTATAGTCACAACCATTTAAAAACATGCCTTTAGGAGATCGATTACGTGCCATATCAAATAGATCTCGTCTAAAAACAGAAATTTCAGATCATCTTTTAGTATTACATTCACTACTTTTTCGTTAATAAAATATACCAACAAAGTTAACTTGAAACATAATAGATGTAGTGTTCATTTTTGCATAGTATTTTAAACAGCCCCTGTTAAAATTGGATGTTCAATGAAAATTGAAGTCTCTCTATTTCATAGACTGTTTAGAATATTTATCATTCATAATAAAATTAGCTCAACACTTTTTACTTCAAAGTACTTTATTAGCAAGATTTATGTTATTTTTATCTCGAAAAGATGTGTATTAATGATCTATATATCAAATTCAATTTCCCTTTATGAGATTCACTATTGACAGTTCGACTTCCGCATTAGTAGACAGTTTGTTATTATTATGAAAAGAATGGAAAAATAGCTATTCATTTTTGTTACGATTTCATTTGAATAATAAGTACGAACGAATAAATGTTTAATATGCATTCTTTATGATTAGAAAGAACAAAAAAAAAGAATTCTTAATGTGTCGAAAATAAAAATTTTGTCTCTATTAGGATGCTGGTATCAATTTAGACAAAACTCTTCATTTTATCTTATGGAATTATCTTAAAAAAATTGCAAAAAAAGGTTCTGTTAGCTATCTGTAAGTTAATCAGACTTGATTCTATGAAAAACAATCATCAATTCAATACTAAATTTTAGGCAATTTATTACTCCATTACCAAAACTAACTCTTAAAATCTCCGTAAAGAAAAAACAAACATCAGTCAATATCAAGAAATAATCAATATTTTTTATTGATATATTTTTAAAAAAATCATCAAACTATTTTTTTGCTCCTTAATCATTTCATTATTTTACATGTTGTTACTTACATGTAAGAAAACAAAACAAAACAGGAAAAAAGAAGAAGAAGAATTGAAAGATAATAAATATCATAGGAAGAAAAACAAACAAACAAACATTATTCCCACGGAAATTGAGCTTTAAAAGAGAACATATTGTTTCTCATACATTCATAGAATAAAGCAGTAACAGCACCATAGTCAATATTCCAAAAAAAGACACAAGAAGCAAACAGAAATTAAAAAACGAGCATTTCTTGTCTGTGTTAAGATTATAAAAAAATCATTAAGCAAGAGAAAGAAAAACATAGTTGCACAGAAATGAAAATTAAAACAAGACGATCTTGGCCAGTAAACAGAAAAGAAACGACGGAGAATAAATATGTTTATATTATGTTTGTTTGTGTTTTAATCAAAATCATTGTATATTTATATATATATAAAGAGAATAAATATATCAGCAAGGAGAAAAAAAATCATGTTTAAAACACGCTAGAAATTGAAGAATAAAGACTAACAGTATACATAGGATTTAAATAATAAAAACAAAAATACATTTCTATTAATTGCTTATAGGAGGAGCTATGGTTTGAGATGATTGAGGATGACGATCTGTATTTTTCGTCTCACTGTTATTGAAGCCATTACGACGATTATTATTATTATTATTATTATTATTATTATTATTATTATTAGTTGAAGGTATTGGACGTGAACGACGATTATTTTCATTAAAATTTTGCTGATATTTTTGTGGATGTGGTCGACGGCGATTCGTAGCTAAAAATAAATTTTTAATTAAATATTAAAAAACAAATACTATTGTTGTTGTTGTTATTGTTTACTTTGATAATTATTCGAATCATCATAATAATAATAAAAACCATTAGACGTCGGCGTACCATGAGAACTTTCATAATATTCACCGTTATTATTTTCATTAAAATTAATTTTTTTATGAATTCTTTGCGGTAATGGTTTTTGATTATGTTCATTCGATGATGAAGATACTGACAAATCATTTGGTTGTTTTTGAATATTTTCTATAGATTTTTCTGTTATATTATTATTATCTTTTATTGTACTATTCTGTTCTACTAATGCCGATGATGCTGATGATAGTGTACGTGTTCGATCATATTTTCTATCAATTCTTAAAACTGTTCCAAAATTTTTTAATCCATCAAGAATCGATTGATCATATTGAAAACGATGTGATGATGTTAATTCTTCACCTAAATCATAACGACGTTCAGTAACAAATTGTTTAATATCAGTTCGAAGATTATCAATTTCTAATGGTTCAAGACGATCACAACGATCAACACGTTGACGTAACTCTACAGCACGTTGTTGTCGATGTTGAATAATATTTAAACCTTGTTCTTTAACTTTATCGATTTCTAAATACAATTCAACTTCACGTTCTTTAATTATATCACGAATTTGTTTGAATACATCATCGATACGTTTTACGGAAGATTTTATTTCATTTTCAAATGATAATTCAACATTAGTTAATGTTGATGTTTGCCGTTGAAGATCTTTCGTAGATTTAGTAAGAACTATTAATGGACAGTGAATAAGTTCAATAATTAAATAATAGTTTACTTACGTTTTTTATTATTACTAAATGTTGCTGGATTAGATGAAGAACTTGTTGGAATCTCACTATTTGTTGATTGTTGAATATCATTTGGCAATGATTGTTGTTGAGTTTGTTCATGATTTAATAGTGTTGAACCATTATGATTTTTTAGACTTCGTCGACGTTTTGATTTTCCATTGTGTCCATTGGCTTCATCAACATGATTTGTTTCTAAATTGGTTTCATCAGATTTAATTACAGTTGTTGCATCATGAAAGTCATTTTCGACTGATTCCATTCTATTGAATAACACTTGAGAATTGTTTGTTGTTAAATCTAACAGTAACACAAAATAATAAATTTAGTTTTTTCTCATTGTTCTTTCTACCTTGACTTAGACATGGATGAAATGAAAGATTAGTTGATGGATATGTTTGAAGAATATTGCTTGATAGTTCATGAATTAATGATGCACTACTTTCTGTATTAGATACTGACGTATTTCCTGTAGACAAAAAAAACAGCCAATGAATTTTAATTGTTTTATTTAAAAAAAAGTTTTTTTCTTTTATACCATTCGTAGTAAGTATGGGTGTACCACCTTCGGCAAATGTTTGAAATATATTTGAAACACGTTGTGATGGACGTAAAACAGCATTAGATGATGTTGGTCTATTATTTTGATTGTTAGATTTATTTGTTGTCCGTTTATTGGAATTCTAAAAGTAAAACTTGTATTACTTTATTCAAAATAAACTAATATAGTAATTTTACATGTCCACGACCAGTGCTCATTTCAGTCCATCCGCTGAGTGCTTCAATAGCTCCATCTAAAACATTATGAAAATAATGTTTCTATGATGAAGATTGAAAATCAACTTACTTCGTTTAAATGCTTCAACTGTTGCATCCACATTTGATTCAAAATGAAGTAATGCAAGTTCAATTTTTTCACGTGAAAGATTGGATAGATGAGGTAATTGAGAGCGAACAGCAGATACATTATCACGCATGGCATTTTTTCGTGGCATTATTCTTTCGTTTTCTTCTATCTTAAATGAAAAATACATTTAATTTCTTTTGTTTTACTTCTATTAAATCGCATGACGATGCAAATATTTATTATATTTATCATATACTTGTTTTTGTTAATAAATAATCTCTTGAGTATTTAGGTGAAAATGAAAAATTTCTATTTGCTTTTGTCTCTTGTTTTTTATTAGAAAGTAACATACAAATGTAATACTTGACGAAAATGAGAACTTTATTGCAAAACAAAAAGAAAAAAAAAATGTTTTTATAGGCTCTATTATCAAGAAGAGAAAAAAGTGCGTGTTTTTCTCTCAACTAAAAATATCACCGTATGACCTGTATTATTATGTAATTGAAGACAAGAGCAATAAAATAGTTAAATAGATAAATGGCAATTTTTCTTCTCTAGTTATTCAATCATGAATAGACCTTTGATTTTCTTTGTGGAAAAGAAAATATTAGAGAGAATGAAATGTTATATGTCTACAAATAAAGTACTTCCTTCTTTTTTGGTTTGATTATTTGCGATTTGGAATAGAATAGTGTATACAAAAAGAGCATAAATGGTTTTCGAGAAGGAGAAAACAGGTAAAAGAACTATCTAGAATAGTGAGGCACAGCTGTGTGAAGGTTGACAGGCAACGCAAGATTAGTACGACAACGCCATTGCTACTAAGGGAGAGACAAGAAAAGAAAGAAAATGAAATGAAGCGGGCTGCTGATGCAAGCTATTTCTCAAAAGAAACAAAAAATATATATACATTCCATTCGTCATTTTAATGTGTCAGAAAATTTAATAATATTTTTTTTTACATATTTTTTCTTAGTAATAAATATCAATTTTAATACTTGGAGTAATCAATCCCTCGATTTAAAAATAAATAAAACATTACTCGAACGCGATTATTGTTAAAATGAACTTTAAATAATTCATTACAGATTTTGTAAAAGAAAATAAAACTTTAAGTCTGAATTAGATTTTTTCCTTCGTTGTCTGTCCCGTTCTCTCCACATAAATCTATCAAACTAGACAATGACGACGAAGAAAAGGAGCGAGAGAACGAACGAACGAACGAACGAATGATGTCAATAAACAATCATTTTGTTCATATGGGAAAAGAAAAGGTGGCAAAAGTATGTAGCTCAAAGTCAACAGAATAAATCGACATGCGAACAAGTCTAGGTTATGTACCAATAACGGTGAGGGGACGCCCTACAGTGTATGGTTGTGTATCTCGTATTCTTCTACTTCCTTTTCCTCTTTCTCATCGACGTCTATCTATCTTGTAACTATAGACAGACAAGAATGTAAATATCGCATTCTCTCTTGAGTTTGCACGCCCTCAATCGATATAAACCATCACCGCTAGTATCTAAAACATACTACTGCTACTACTAACATTTTTCTATGCATATAAAGAATAAATGTAGTTTTTCTTTCCTTTCCTCTCTTTTTCTGCCCATTCCATTCTGCAATAGATTTTCATGTAAAATAAAAATAACAATGCCAATAGTTTTGTTAATAATTAATACATAAAAGATTAATTTCAAAATTAATTATGCTCAATCTTTTTACAATTGTATATATTGATTTCGAAGAGAAAAAGAAAAAAACCATAGTCATATCTATTTATAGAAATTATCTATGCTTAGTTGTTCTGACCACATTCAGAACAGAAAGCGTGAGAGAAAAGATAAAAGTATATAAGATGATGATGAAATAAACTGACCGAGATAAATATCTGCAATGACATGTCGATTAAATGAAGCTGACAGAGTAAAAAAAAATAACCAGAATCACGGAATGGGATGGGAAGGTCAACAGTATCAATTGTCGATTTACTTAGACCATTAAAAAAGTCACGTCCTGTGTAGAGAACGAAAAGGATCATGCGAGTACGAGCCAGGAAGAAAGAGAGAGAGAGAGAGAGATCAATATTATTATTCTAAAATTAAAGTTGAAACAAACAGTTTTGTCACCAAATAGGTACTTTACCATATACAAAAACGATGAAATAAATAAAAATAGTTTCAATAGCAAAACGACAGATTACGCAATCATCAGGATTAAAACATACCCGGGAAAGGAACAAATTGACTACTTTCTTTCATATACTTGTTCATTCGATCTCATATATACGTCATCGTAACGTGTAGATTCAACAGTAAAAAGAGATTTCTTCGATAGAGAAGGAGGAGAGGAAATCATCTCAGTTTTGATTAGTAAATTTTTATTTTTACTTGAGCTTACCTTTAATCGATAAATTTTTTCAGTATTAACAAAGAATTTCGAATACTAGAAATAAATTCTTATTGAATTTTATAATTTCTTACAAGTAATTCATATTATAGATGTCATTAGTATCAAGTATTCCAAATTTTAAAGGTAGTTGCTAAGCGACGAAATGTAGAATTATATAGTGGAAACTGAGAAGAAAACAGTTTAAAAAAGAAAAACCATTAACGATTACTAAATATGCTCGTCGGAGGGTATGATCTAAAAGTGAATTAATTCGTCTCATCAATCTAATTTATTAGATCATCTCGAACGTACCGCGAACCACAAACTATGCACAATCATAATCAGCATGCTGAGTACGTAAAATACGAAATAAATGACACTTCACTATCGAAAAGATAACTATCGACATATGTCTTTTATATCTATTTCGAAAAACGTTCAGCTATTTATTATATATCTTCTAATTCAATGGAAATAATTATTATTGTTTCATTATAATGTCACCTAACACTTTTTCAGGCATGAAAATATCGAAAAAAAACTGTTCTATGGTTTCTTATTGTGTTAATATTTATGTAGTCGATCTCATCAATATCCTGTAGAACACATCGATATGAATATATAAATTCATTATTTTGCATTTTTATAGAAACTGATATTTTCTTATTGAAAATTTTAGTTTATCGATCAATAATGATCCAATAGATAGTTATCTATCTCAAGATGGAAAAAATCTATCATCGCGAATGATACAAGAAGTTGCTTCAAGTGTTATTATCGAAAGTTTATCGGCTGAATGGTGGACATCAAAATTATCTCAAACAATTATTAATGATTTACTTGAAAATCTTATTCCATTGGTAGTTTTAGCCTGTGAAAAAGTTATGAACGAAGCCGATGAACGTCATCTAATTGAAACAACAACACCGGATCGTTTATTTAATCCTTTAAATCGTTTAGCATCATATTTGATGCGTAATAATCCAAAATATATACATTATTCATCATTATCACCGTATCATTATTCAATGAAATCATTGTTAGATACGAAAAAAGTTCAAGTCTTAAAAGTATATGGTGAAGAAGAAACATTATTACGTACATTAATTAAACAAAGACAAGATGCACGTCATGATCAACACAATGCCGTTTCAAAGGAAGAAGAACGACGAAAGAATTTACTAAAAACACTCTTCTTTGATTGGAATGTACCTGAACGAGGCTGGATTCAAACGAAACTCGTAAATATATTTACTTTTCATAGTAGACAATAAGTAAAAGAATCGAATTTTTAACTCAAATTTCAAAGATAGAAACATGGGATGAATGCCAAGAAAGCTGAGATTTCTAATTGTACAATATATAGAGAGCATGAGAAGTTGCTTAGCTTAATTAGAGATCATTCGTTTTGGACAATAGGAGAAAAGTAGAGCGGGTGGCCCCTACGTTATTGAAGCTCTCAGTATCTTGACTATAGCGGTTTTTTTTTCTTTTTTTTCACTTTGCACACCTGATATGAAGGTGTATTATGATAAAAGAAAACCTTTACAATAGTTAAGCACTTCTCCAAGAGATTCATACTACATGATGAACTCTTAATGAATAAATTAATATTTCGATTGTTACTATTTTTCAATGAAAAGAAAAATATGCCTTGAATAGTATCAAACAATTATTCCAATATGTTAGATTCATGACATAAGTTAGTTTCACTATAGAGCAAAATTTCCTGCTAAGAATCAATCTATTACCGATAGACCAACATTTCCCGGTAGAATAATCTATTGTCAACAGATTGAAATTTCCCGATAGAATGGTTCAAGCAGTTTATGGATCGCTGGGAACTTCTAATGTTCGTTTTGTTTATGAATATGTAAGACACTTTCGCAGTTCTACTTTATTTAGATAAACAATATGATTGAACAATTGTATGAACTATCAACACAAAATGATTTAAAATTAGATATACCTTTGTTTCAAGCACATCGAATGCATCTTGGCACATTTACAGAAGTGTGTGTCAAAGGATTTTCATTAAAATGTACTTTAATTTTGTTTAACCGATAGAATATTCTTACTGGTTTAAATAATCAATCAGCAAAAAAGTTTGATTCAATTATAAATGTATATCGTCATTGTGCACAAACATATGCAAATATTGTTCAAGAACATGAACTTAATCTTCTATTAAAACGTCTTTTTAATAACTTGGATGATAGAAAAGTATATGAATAGAAAAAGCTAAACAGAAAAAAAAATCTTTCCTTTTTGTTTCTTGTAGAGTGGATATCTTCTTCGACAAGGTGTTATGAGGCTATTACAAACATTTTATAATGCATTAAATGATAATGATAAACAATATGTAAATCAACCAAATCAATGTAAAATATTTTTGTTTTAGTTTGATTTTTGACTGATGAGATGATGTTTGTTAGGGCCTGTTGTTAAACAAAAAGTAGTAATTGAAGAGATGCCAATTGAGAATTCACCAGAACTAGAAAGAGTTCAACAAGAAAAGCCGACGAATGAACCAGTAACAAACGAACAAGAGCTTTCATCATCACCTGGAGATGATGGCAAGGAAAAAAATAATGATGAACAAGAACAAGTGAATGATGGACCAAAAAAATATACTATTGAGTTAAAACCTATTTCAGTTTGTAAGTTTGTCTATTGTTCCAAACTCTTGTAAGTTTAATTTTTCGAATAGATGAATTTGATTATCGTTTTACAAAAGAACTCACACCTATATGTAAGGACAAATAATAATTTCGGAATTTTCTTATCCTTTTTTAATAATATTGTTTTTCTGTTCTTCTTTTTTGTTAAAGATAATTTAGAACATTTCGAAACAGATGATCATGATAAATCAATTCGATTTGATGAGCAACTTATCGATAAAGCACAATTTAGTGCTTTATTGATATCATTTTTTGGTTTGAAAAAAAATGACATGATTATATCCGCATCAATCGATTATTTTCGTTCAAAATATAGAGAAACAACTGAAGAAAAACATGAAAAAGAATTACTGGTAAGCTGTGAACACATTATTCATGCAAACATATATTGGGAACATTATATTTGATCAGTGAAATAAATGAAATGATCAGTACTAAAATGATCAGCAATCTATCTTAAAGTGATCAGTTTATTATATATAATTACCAGTAAAAAAGATGAAATTGATCAGTAAAACTTAGAAATTTGGGTGCGAGTGTGATTCTTCTGCTCATCTACACAACCACCGAAACGTTTTTTTGGGACCCAGGTCGACTGATCCGACATCGGATCCGATAGGAACCTGGAAATATCCTACAATCCGATGCAATTCTATTGGATTCCGGGTCGAGGAATCGATGTCGGATCCTCAGTGTCGGAATCCTATGAACTTCCGATGACATACAACGGTTTTTCCTTGGAATTCATAGGAATCCGACACTGAGGATNTACAATCCGATACAATTCTACTGGATTCCGGGTCGAGGAATCGATGTCGGATCCTCAGTGTCGGAATCCTATGAACTTCCGATGACATACAACGGTTTTTCCTTGGAATTCATAGGAATCCGACACTGAGGATACGACATCGATTCCTCGACCCGGAATCCAACGATAATTCTGAAAGATCTGGCAGGATCCGATAAAATCCTATTAGATTCCAGTCGGATCGGATGGGTTCCGATAGGTGCCTACTGTCGGATTGCTCGACCTGGGGAATTCTTTGATTTCCATTTATTCCATCATTTCCTTCCAGAACCTCTTTGTCTGATATATCACTTTCATATTGAACAACCTGTACGACTTCCATCTTTTTTACTCGTTCGTACTAAGTTGAATGTGAAAGAAAGGAGCTAAGAATACATTTATATATGTTATACTTATCAGCTGTACGATATATAGACCAAAAGAACAAACATGAAAAAAAAAGTAAATCACCTTATAACACATTTCGATTTTTATACTGATCCTTTGATCTAATTCACTGATTTTTAAATAATGTATCAATAAATTGAAGTATATTAATAACTGACTACACAAGATCATTCATTTATTCTACTGGTCATTCAATTATTTTACTGATTTTATATTTATTTTGCTTACTGATCATTTTACTTATTCTACTGATCGCTTAAATGATAGCCATATATATTTAGAGTTATATACAGAGATTGAGTCTTCTAGATGTGAGGGTGTGGGTGAACTTGCCGTTAACTTATTGTCTTAATAATCTCAAACATGAATTCAGTTGAAATTTCTGTGGCACAGACTTATTTTACGTTGAATTAGACTTTGTTCTGGGCCTAAAAAATGTATTCTCGTGTGAAATAATTTGCTGAAGAATTCGAGAATGACAGTGTAGCTGATGTGAAAGAATATAGGTTAATAGCAAAACGAGTGAAACACTGGACGTAATTCTAAGTATCTATAGACATGATATTAAAATACTTGCAGTGATTCATGTCATGTAAAATAATTTTCAAAATAGGTACAACAACGTATTACTGATAAACAACAACGTTCTCACAGTGATTTACTCTTCGAAAAAATGAATACAACATGTACAGGCGTTATTAAAATTGAACAATTGACCAATATTCTTAAACAATATAAAGAAGGAGCTGCACTTGAAACAGTCGAACTAGGTAAGCTGATCAAATTATCTATGAAGGTTAGAATAAGATGACGAAGGCATGAACGTATTTTAATGAGAAAATCAATTTTAAGTTATGAATTTTAAAAGATACACCAAGAATATTGGATAGTACCAAACAGAATTCAATATAAAAAGAATTATCCATCGGCAAATATCTTCTTATCCAGCCAATGAGTATTCTGCTTATTTATCGATGGTCTGATACAATTCATTCGTTATTTCAGATGTCACCTCGAGATCGTTTCAACTTAGTTTCGATGATGATAGCCAGTTTTGAGCAAAACAATGCATGAGACTTGCTTGCCTTATTTTCTGTTTTTCGCCCTCGTAAGATATTATAGCGCATACAATTCACTATATATGTAGAATCTATTTGTACTTGATTTGATTTTTGTTCGTGCGCAAGATAAGTTGAATAACCTTATTATTGTCCACCTATAGGTAGATAAATATGATAATAATTTAATCAGATTCTTTCTAAAAATCAAAATAAAATTATTGTCTCTTTTGAATTTATTTTTCACTAAAGCTCTTCAAGCGTATCAAGATCAAACACAATTGAGTAGTGCCCAATTTTTCGATCTTCTTGTTAATGTTCATCTAACACTCAACGATGCAATGGGTGGTGGTGAAAAATTTGATGATCTTCTTAAATATATTGACAGTCAACTACCACCGGTAGAAATGATTTTTCATTTATTCGCAGACTAATTTTCTCTTTAGTTGAATTCATCCGATCGCACACGTATTCATAATCGCCAACAATGGTTAAAACGTATACGTAATATTTCATTTCGAACATTGGATAATCTCTATAAGGAAGTTATGGATATCATACAAAAAGATTCGGATACATTTGGTAATCCACCGCCCAAACATTTAAGCATTTATATTGCTTTATTGAACGATGATAGAAATCAATTACGATATGTTGCTACAACGAAAGATCAAGAAAACTTATTATTAGATAAAGCATTGCAACAGGGCGAAGGCGTTTCGTAAGTGAAATAAAAAGAATTGCTACCGAATAAATAATAGGATTCAATATTTTTTTCTTCGCTGCACAGTTTTCAAGTACTCGAGACTGGAAAATGGGCGTATTTCAATCAAACAAAAAAACATACACGTATTAAATTTTTCAATCCACTTGCTCAAAAGCAATCCGGTAGTTTTGTTATAATTCCATTAAAACGTTTACAACAGACGCATGCTTATGGTTTATTGGGTATTGATACAATACAAGACAAGAAGGAGAAAGCATTTGTTCAACACGAAGTACAATTTTATGAAGGCATCGCTTCAGCATTAGCCGACATATTTACATTTGTTGATTTTGATAAGAATATGATGAAAATTCTTCAGCGTTTTACCTACTGGATAAAACAACGATGTTCCAATGTAAGCGTTAATTTTAGATCAATTATATTTATTGAATAAGGCTTGACTGAGAAACCACTGTTCTTGTGAACAATTGAGAGTAGGGGTCAAGGGGAAAAGGCGGATTTAGGACTTTCAAAATCCCAAAATCCCAAAATGTGAATGATGGAATTTCCATCTGAATTTTTTCCCATATGTAAGTCTCATGATCCTTAAAATATTCTAAAATTTTCAGCGCAAACCGATGTTTCCTTCTCAAGATAATGAATGCGCAAGAAATACTCATTTCATGGCAAGGTCAGAAAATCCAGTTTTTTTTTGAAAATTCAATATTTTAAGAAGGAAACATTTGTTTGAGTTGAAACTTTTAGGATCATTTATGGACCATGAAACCTATATATGGGAAGAATTTCAGGTAGAAACTACGTCATTCACAGAGGGGAGAATGCTTTTCAATCTATGGGATTTTCAAAATCTCAAAAACCCGTCTTTTCCCCCTTAGTAGGTGTGGTACGTTTACGTCAATCTAAAATTAACGTTAACTAAAACCATTAACCGTTAATATTAACGAATTAACACTTTGAGCAAAACCGTTAACCTTTGATATTAACGGCTAACGCTTTTAGTTAATTAACGTCGTTAATTAACTCGCATTAAATTAAATGGCTCACCGCTAATTGAGAGCAGTATTAAGTACTCAGAACTATTGATATTAATCAATATTTATTTAGGTATCAACTGTTGATTATTACACTTATGAACCTGCATCAATGAATAATCCAGCAGAACGTTTACTTAAACATGTTATTAGATATTCAAATGGAAATTTAACAACGTTTGACAAACCAAAAACAATCAACAGTCGTGAACAAGTGTTCAAGTAAGAGGGAAATGTTTTTCAATAATATATTTATTAAAGAAAATCAAATATAGATACCATTTGGAACATGCTGCTGTCACGTGTCAATCAATAATAGCATCATTTCTTGGTCAAACTCATATGATACAAGCAATACGTGGAAGAGATAATTTCTGTTTTGCTTTAATTGATACAATTATTGGTAAGTTAACGCATGAAAACATTTCTTTAAACTGTATTTTTTCCTAGGTGAAAAAGAGGAACTACAAAGTTCAGAAAAACAAGACTTAATATCTATGTATACTTGTATTTCCAAGAGCGTTGATGAATTAGAAGAAGAATTAATTCATGATACTATAAAACGAGTGCTGAATTATGAACAAAAATCTGATAAAAAACGGTTAACTTATATTTTTGATCGTACATGGTATACAGATATATGTGATACAATTAAACAATTATCATCAGAAAAAGTACAAGAATTCATTAATGATAAAACGCAATGGAATGATGAAACCAAACAAATTCTATCTCTTATTAGTCGAATTGTTAAACAGAAAGAATTAGATCCAAATGAAGTAAGCTAAGATTTAGACATATGTTGAGAACGAAGAGAAGATTGTACTAATTATGAGATCGAGTACTCTTGACAAATAAAAATTGAGAACAACATTGCCATAACGAGGAAATAAACGACGATAGCGATCAGTTTCTCGAAGTAGCGAAAGTTCTCGGAAAGATTTAGACACATGACAGAGGCTTGTCTTTAAATAGTTTCGACTACATGTGGTGAAAAATCCTTTTGTGAAAGGAGTAATAGTAAAATCATAATCTATAAAACACTAATCTCAATACACATTATTTACGCAGGCATAAGTTAGGCTTATTTTCTCAAATATACAATCATGTGATAGCAGTATGACAGAGAACATAGTTAAAATCAAATGCATGGGAGATGATGAACGACAACACTATTTTCATTTTCATTTTCTCATACGCTTACGAATGGAAATTAAATAAGATAAAATATCCCAGTTTGATTATTCACTAATCATCTCCTTAACTATTCGCGTTATTTATACATGTACATTCATATGATCTATTTGTAGTACATCGAAGGGCTCTTGCCACTCATGATAGAATTCGATCCAACAGCAGAAGAGCATGTTCAAAATAATTTATGGGCTGGCGTTGAACCATTGATACAAAGTAAATTTCTCCTAGATGCTTTTTGTTCGTCTCATTTTGAAAAATTACATTCTAGCCATCGATCGATCAATATGGCAACAACCATCATCTGATGTAATTAAAATCTTCTACGATTGGTTGAATCTTGCCTATGAACTCAAGACATTTTCGAAAGCTCAATAAATCAAAATATAATTTTTTTAAATAAATTTTTATTCTTTTTACTTAATACAAGAATACTAACAAAAAATATATATCTGACAAAGATGAACATCTGATTATAGTCGAAGAATCTGAATATGTAAATGATCATTTAAAATAGTGCCATTGCTAATATCATCATCAGTTTTGCTTAAGAATATTTTTGCATATGTTCCACTTGCATTATTTATCATTGTTGAATCTTGATTTTTAACCAATCGACCAATATTTATTGCACATACAGAATCAATAAACTATTAAAAGACAATGAAAATTTAATTAATCAACGAATGTATTCATAATTTAGACAATAATAAATGTGGAAACTTCGGATTTCATCCGAGAGTTATGTGTACTGCAAAAAGTGCATGCGACATATGAGTCATTCTAGAATGTCTGAACACGAAAATTGTCATGAGAAACTAGGCAATTTGATTTCTGGATGCAGTTTTTGTGCATTTTGAGACGTTTTTCAGGCGATGTTTCGTTACAAAGCTATGACTTAGTTCAAAACTAATATCAGATTTAGAATCAGCGTTAAAAACTGAGTCGATTTAAATATGTTGTTGATAATTCTGAGAAAAAGTTTTCTTTGAAAAATCCCCGTACCCCTCCTCAGGGATGGTCTGATCAAAAATGACAATTTTTTCGATAACTCAGCCATTTCTTGACAGATCCTTTTCATCTTCAAACTCGACCTAGATATTGATGAGATAATTCTGTGCACAAAATTTCAGCTCAATCGAATGTAATTGTGAAGAGTTATCGAATAAACGGACGGCCGGACACACTGACCGATTCTATAGTGTACTCTTTTTTTTTGAGTACACAAAAAATACTCTCAATCTCCATCAGTGAGAATGATTTCTTTTTGATGGCAAAAGACTTTTTTCAACTTTTCATTCATAAAAACAGAGATCAGGCCCAACAGGTTCCAACGTTTCCTCCTGTGTTAAGCTATCATTTCTATAAGGATATCACAAGTGATTGAAACTTAGCTTCTCCTATTATTCTGCCAATGAGAACATGACCAAATTAGATGGAGTACAATGGACTGAAGATATTGAACAATTCTATCGTTCAATTCCTCGCGTATTTCTATAATTTCATGTCCTTCTTACTTTAATAAATGGCCGAAGATCCGAAGAAGTAATAAATAAATGAGGTAACGAATCGATCTTTGCATATTGCATTGCTTGTTCATATTCAATTGAAACTGATTCATTTGGTGGAATTAATGGATAGAATCTATTCGAAGAAACGGATACAGATTATGATTTGAAGTGAATTTTTGACTACATACGTATGTTGTTGAAATAAATGACGAATCAATCGACACATACGTTCAGTTGTTTGATTTCTATTTTAGATAATTTCTTTTTCTTAAATTATGATTTCTTTTTATAAACATACAAACTAATTTCTTCTGAACTTAAATGACAAAGAATATCTGTTGATGTTATTGCACATTGAAGGCCATCGATTGATACAAATGATGGTTCACAACCGTAGAGAATTGCCTAAGAAATATATTTATTATTATTATTTTTTGTATTCTAATTTTAGCAAACCAAATCTTTATTGTCATTGATTGTAAATGGACTTAATGGATAAATTAAATCATGATGAATATCGCGTAGTGATGGAATAAGTATTGTTTTTATTCGAAAACTGAAATAAATACAAACGTTACTATTGCAAATATAATTATTCTCAAATTTCTTATTTAGATCGAGAAAAACAATATCTGTTATTCGATTCGGGAATAAATTTTTACGTCGGATAAAGGATCAGATAAAAAAATCCCATGGGAATTTTTCATTTAAGTTAGAAATAAATCATTTTCTCTATTCAAAAGAAAAATCAAACTAATTTTGACTGGCATTATCGAAATTTATTCTTGAATTCTAGTATAAAATTATGTTTCTGATGATGATCTATTTGTATATTAATTAATGCATTACCTTTTAATTTTTTCTATCAAGTCTTGGAACACTTGTTCGTAAGTTTTATCCTGTAAATTTTGTACATATGAAGAACGTTCATCAATAAATGGACCCAGCTAAAATAGAATTTCTATTGCATAAATATCATCCTTCGAAAACAATAAAATACCAAAATTAATGATTGAACTGAAGGATCTTCTTCAGCTCGTCGTAGAAGTTCTTCGAATGCACTTAAATTGCCATTGGCAAGTAAAAACGGACCGGAAGCAATCATAAAATTCAAATCAGTTTTAACTTTTGTTTCAATTGGACGTGGAACCAATGGTGGCTAAACAAACGTATTTTGAATTTCGTCTCAAAACTTCTTCTCTTTTTTTAGTATTTACATCTGTTAATTGTTTAGCATGAAAACATCCATCATTTGTATAGATACCAGAAACAAGTACAATCTAGATTAATATAGAAAAATAAATCTTGAATATCAATTGAACTCTCTGTACTTGTCCCGGAAATAATGAATAACTAGGTAACGATGAGACATCAAGTCGAACACGATTACATTTTGATGTTCGCGAGGAACCTTCAAGTACAATCGATTGACCATTTAGTTGACCAGCTGAATCACATACAACACGACCAACAAGATGCACTTCATCCTAGTGAATATAAAATTTATATAAATAGCTAAAATTTTACTTTCAATAAGTTTTACTTGAACACCATTTCCAATTGGATAAAGAAGAACTTGTGATTTTTCACTTTCTTTATCATTGAGAGTGCTTAAAAATAAATCCTCAAATTCTTCAATTTGTTTGTTTAAAACTATTAAAGAGAAAAATTACGAAATTTCATAGAAAAATAGCCTGTTAGACAAAATTAGTTGTTTATTCTGAATTCTATCATTCTTAGAATATTGAACTAATATTTTCAATCCAAACATACGCTAATGAATCATATTTACAAACACCACATGCCGATTCATATAGTATATTCTCTTTAGAATTATCATATATAATTAAATCACGTCAAAATTCATCAGTTGAAAAGTGAAAATGAATCTCTTCTAAAATTTTTATATGCATAAAACTGAATTCAACAGTCTCAAAATGACTTCAAGACTTCGCGATAGAGGTGTCAGCCGAAGGGTTGAACGGCGGCGGCGGGCAACAATTTTCAATTTTTAAAGATTTCCAGCGGCTCGTTATTTGAATGAGTAATGTGTTCAGCGGCGGCTGCTACAAATTCTTAAATTTTTTTCCACAGCGGCGACGTCGGTTGATATTTGCAAGTCCTTATGAGACAGCGGCGGCTGAGATAAAAATTCGCTAATGAAAATTAAAAGAAAAATGTTCGATTCGATCGCATATGTATTGATGTCAGCGGCGGTGGATGATGCCACCAAAAATTTTTATCTCTTGTAGCGGCGCAACGGCTAAACTTGTTTTTCGCAGCGGCGGCTCCCCAAAAATTCTTAAAATTACCAGCAATTTGGTGGCGGCGGCGGCTGATATTATAGAAAACTGGGCTACTGCGGCGGCTCAGCTGCACGGCTGACACCTCTAAAAACACAAGTGTTAATGCTATTGTCTTTGAGTTGTAACATAAAGCTATTGGTGTTAGCATTAAGTTAACGAACGCTAATGCTAAGCCAACATCTCTACATATCACCCTAATTGTACTTTTTCTTCTCGTAGCGCAGTCCGAATTCTTTCTTTCATTATTAGTCCATGTGGTTTAGCCAATATTAAAATTGGTATAAATGGATTCGGTCGTATTGGTCAATTGATCTTTCGATGCGCACTTGAACAAGATATTCAAGTAGTTGCTATCAATGGTTAGTATTAAATATTTTTGTTTATATATCTAATAAAACATATTCTTACAGATCCATCTATTCCTGCTGATTATATGGTTTATCTGATTAAATACAATTCAACACATGGACGCTTCAAAGGTGAAGTTTCAACTATAAAAGGAAAACTCTTTGTAAATGGAAAGAAAATCAATGTCCATAATGAGTAAATATTTGAAATTAATAAATTTCCGTGTTTTATTTGTTTTCATTTTTAGAAAAGATCCATCAGACATTCCATGGAGTTTAGTCGGTATGTTGTTTCATTTAAACTTGAATGATAGGTAATTTATTGGTTTTCTTTCTTTCTCTCTTGTTTTAGGTGCTGAATATATTGTTGAATCAACTGGTGTATTTACAACAATTGCCAAATGTCGATCACATTTACACGCCGGTGCTAAAAAGGTTATAATTGCAGCATCATCAGCTGATGCTCCAATGTTTGTTATGGGAGTCAATGAAGATAAATATACAGAAAAGCAAACAATCATTTCGGCTACATCATATACAACAAATGCTTTAGCACCACTTGTTAAAGTTGTTCATGAAAAATTTGGTATTATTGAAGGTTTAATAACAATTATACATTCATATGCTGCTGCACAAAAAACTGTTGATGAATCATCAAATGAAGTATTGAATGAAACAAGAATAAAATAATATTTAATTGTTTTTTATGTCTATAGAATTGGCGTCATGGACGTGGAGCTACACAAAATATTATTCCATCATCAACTGGTGATGTTAAAGCTGTAGGATTGTTTTTTTTCTATCTTTAACATGTAAAATATTTAGATTTATTTGTAATTAGGTTGGAAAAATAATTCCTAATTTAAATGGAAAATTAACTGGTATATCTTTTCATGTTCCGACACCTATTGTCTCAGCTATTGATTTAACTGTTCGATTAAACAAAGGAGTAAGTCATTTTTTTTTAATTTTAATTTAGTTTATTAAATGAAATATATTATGTAGGCTAAATATGAAGAAGTTTGTGCTGCAATTAAAGAAGCTGCCAATGGTTTATTGAAAGGTATTTTGGGTTATACTGATGATCAAGTTATTTCAACAGATTTCATTGGTGATACACATTCATTAATTTTTGATGCTACAGCAGATATTTCACTTAATGATAATTTTGTCAAACTCATTGCATGGTATGCTTTGATTTATTCAATATTTTTTCTTTTGTAGGAAATACAATAATTTTATTTATAGGTATGATAATGAATACGGTTATTCAAATCGTGTTGTTGGACTTATCAAATATATTGCCAAGAAAGATCTTGAAAAATAAGCTTGCAGTAATAAAATAGTAAAAAGTATTTGTTTTCTTGTAGAAAACAAATAATAAAATTATTAAAAAAATCACTTACTGCTTTCTTTTGATATTTTAATTGAATAATATAATATAATATCTGAAGCACTTTGAGCTTCAACACACTTCATTTATAAAAACCTTAATATGTTTCAAGCATTTTATATTTTTTTAAACAACATTTTATTTCAAACTCTAGTGGATCCTCATGTTAACTGTGATATATCGAATAATAGTACGAAACAAGGGAACGATCAGATATGCACCAGTTTCAGATTTAAACTGATCAACTAGTCACTTAACTAACACTACTCATTTAACTTAGTATTTGATTCTTTTTCGAAGTAAGTTTCATTGTATCAGTTTAATGCAATAAAAGAACTGATAAGTATCGAATTTGTTTTTTATCGCTTACTGATTTCATACTGATGCTTGTCTATATCACTACTAATCATAATTCAATATATGTTCTTCTCTCTACTAGGTAGACATCAGTTTACTGGAACTGGGCATATCTAGAAATGATCAATTGTAATCTCAATTTCAAGCTAAGTCTAAAAAAAGAATTGGTGGCAAATTCTTGTGACCAAGTTTAAATGAAAACGAAATAGATAATTCTTGTTTTGATAAATGATGAATTGACATCAGTGGAGAAACGACTGACTCAATAAAAGGTAACTTTCCAGTGAGATAATATATGAGTTCACATTCGTCGTTTATATATTCGAATTGGAAATTCATGGTTTCTTGAAAATATTATTTCACAAATACCTAATCTCGAACAAATGTCAGTGCAATTTCATACTACATTAAGATTCGATTTATCATGGAAATCGAATGTTGAAATAATGAAACAATCAAATGGAAATTGGTTGAACAAAGTAATAATGAAATATATCATCTTTTTTATTTGAAAAATGCTTTTCTTTTTAATAATTGAATCTATTCTTTTGTTTTTAGTTACCAAAGTTAAGATATTTTAGTTTAAAAACTTTTATTGATGATGACTGGGAATTTATTTATTTGAAATGGCTTCTCAATAATTTAAATTATGTTGAAAAACTTCAACTTCATCTTAAAAATGATCGACTCGATGAAAGAAAATCTCAAGAGATATGGAAATCATTGATTGATGCAAATTTCATTCGTCAAAATTGTTTACCTGATCGAATAAAGAATTTAAGTAATTTCGATTTCTATATTTGTTCACAACGTCAATTGCCATTCAATGATATAGAAAAAATAACAAATTCATTTAAAAATCATTCTTTTTTTCTTGATCATCAATGGACAAATGTTAATTGTTTTATTGATCCAATAATGTTATCTCAACATATTTTCTCTTGTTTTACAAATAATTTTCGATTTTCTCATAATTTTATGTAAGATATTTTTCTTTATGAAAACGTGAAGAACTTTTTAATTGCATGAAATTCTTTTCTTTTAGTAAGTATTCAAATGTTTTCAATTGGCCACATATTGGCGATATCTGGTGTAATTTACATCCATCACTTTCTTTAATTCTTCAAGGAGTTAATCAATTAACTCCTAATCTTTCTTGCATCAAAGTATACACAAGTAAATTGTTTTTTCATTTCAATGTTTTTCATCTTCATCACTAAATAGATTCGTGAACAAATTTACATGTTCACTGTGCCTTAGAATCGCGTCTTTTTGATTGCGGACGTTTTTTCTTAATTGTTGGAAAAAAACGTCCGCAAAGTAGAAACAGGGGGAGAGAGACAAAAATAGTCGCAGAGTGGAAAATGTACGCATTGCGGAATCAAAGGAAAATTGATATTTTAAGATGATTCATGCAAATAGGTGTACTGAATAATATCAACTGTTTCGAGCTAGTCTAGTGTTGTTCATCACATGTCATCCTGGCCATTTTATAAGCATNCATTTATTCTAAAGGGCTACAGCTTGTTTGCGGACATTTTCCACTCTGCGACTATTTTTGTCTCTTTCCCCATGTTTCTACTTTTCGGACATTTTCTTTTGATTGGAGGAATAAAATATCCGCAATCAAGCTGTAGCCCTTTAGAATAAATGGTGACTCTGCTTTTGTTTTGATAGTTTACGCGTTATATTTTTATTAAAAGATTTGCTGTTTTATTTGAGACAATAAGAGTAAGTTTTAATTGAAAAACTATTGATCCATTCGTCTTTACATAACAGCAGAATGTGTTATACCATAAACATCAAGGGGAAAACGGTGGATCTTTTGGGATTTTAAATCCGGAAAAATGCAAAAATTGAAAAGCATTCCCCTTGTGGATGACGTAGTTTCGAGCTGAAACTCTGCCCATATATAGGTTTCATGCTCCATGGAAGATCCTAAAAGTTTCAACCCGAACAACTGTTTCCTTCTTAAAATATTGAATTTTCAAAAACAAACTCAATTTTCTGATCGTGTCGTGAAATGAGCATTGCTTGCGAATTCATTATCTTGAGAAGGAAACATCCGTTTGCGCTGAAAACTTTAGGGTATTCTAAGAATCATGAGATCTACACATGGAAAAAAATTCAGATGGAAATTCCATCATTCATGGTTTGGATTTTTGAATTTTCAAAATTCCCAAATTCGTTGTTTCCCCCTTGATAAACACCAAAATTCATTCAGGAATTGAATATTTTCGGAAGAAAAACAACGACAAAAGTCAAGGTTTTCAAAGTTGTGCAATGCTAATTTTGATCTCGCTGTTGTCTAGAAGAGGAAAGGTAGACTTCAACGCTCGTCATAAGACATATTAAGGATGGCATAGGCTTCAAAAGATTTGCTGAACTTCATAGGACTTCATGAGTGAAGTAGTTGTTCTTTCTTCCTCAGGCGTCTAAAGATGAATGGTTACGAAGTTTTCGAGTAAAACTTACTTTTTTATGTGGAATTAAACAGCAAATCTGTTGATAAAAAACTAAAGCGTCAACTATTAAAAAAACAGAAAGAGTGCCATATGAAATAAACACTGTGATCACCATTCATTCTGGACACCCACATTAATTTTTTTCTGTCTTTAGTTCAGAACAAATAAGAAAATTAGAAAGAATTCATGTTGAGAACGAGAATTTCTGAAGAATGTTAGTTTATCTTGTTTTCTACTGAATCATATTAACGAATAGTAAAACAATATCTAAAATAAAGTTCTTGTTTTTTTTAAGGACGCAATGGAAGTGTTGACAAGTCGGATCTTCTAATGTCATTGGAAATCTTATTAAAAATGAGACAATACAAGGGAATTAATATTCCTTTTCGAAATATTACAAAAATTCAATTTGGAACTCATTTTGATCGGATAAGCGGTTAGTGTTGATTTGATTTGATTTTTTTTGAGATTTCATATAAACACACAACACTTTACCTTTGATTATAACCAAAACAAACTATCTATATCTTTTTATAATTTTAAATATCATTTATAGCAATTGTCATGAATGAATTTTTTCTTTTTTCTCTTAATATATGTATAATGAGTATATTAATGCGTACTTTATTATCATTAATACTGTGAAGAATTTATGTTATTAGTCATGGCAAGCAAACGATTTATGTTAAATATTGATTAAGTACTATCTAGTTTAGTAATGAATATTGAAACTTTGTATTTGAAGCTTGCTGATCATTGAAAAATATCATTGTGTCTATCAAAGATCTCCATATGCTTGGATACATATGAGTGAATTGCAACTATGTGGTACCGTTACTGTTTGAGTAGTATTTCACTAATAACTTTCGCTTCACTCAATCGATTCGAGTAATTTTTTTATACATTATGGCATCTGGTATGTCCCACTGGCACACAAAATGTCAACCCTGTAGCTCAGACCCGTGCTGAGTTGTAAGAGATATATGACAGAAAAATGTTTATTTTTAATGACACGCGATAAGAAAAACAAATTTTTTGGGCTTTAAAAGAGCCAACGAAAAAAATACGGCATTAGGCTGTTTTGTACAGCGTTCGATGCTCTATCGAAATATATCATCGATTTGAATGGAATGATTTGTTCTTTCTTTAGTCTACCGTTCACACTATTTGACAGACACTTTCTTATTTTTGTGTAGAGTGACGGAAGCGTGGCTGCAGTTCTGTCGTTGAAATAGCTAGTGATGTGCAGATTATACTGAAAGAAAGATAACTCTTTAAAAAACAAAATTATTAGAAAAACTGCGTTTTATCAAATGTGTTTGTAGATAAAAAATAACAAGATTTTTCGAAAAAAAGGTCTTTAAACTCACTTTGTAGAGTGATGGTTTGAAAATTGAATCGTTCATAACTTCTTAATAAATCGCTCGATTTGGCTCAAACTTTCAGAGTAGATGTAGAACGATAAGTCGTATAAGCGATGAGAATTTCAGCTCTTATTCCTTTTCTGTTCTGGAGAAATTTGCATTATACTAAAACAATGAGGAGTGACGCTTTTTTGCAGGATACTTTCAGTATTGTTTGTTAAAAAGTAGAATTTTTGAGTGTGATTCAAATCAATAGTATACGTGAATGAAATACAAATGCATTGTGACCCTTTTTTGATTTCCTTCCCGCATAGTTTTGTGTCCTGGATCAACGGCAATACACACGGGTCTGTTTTGGGTTCAATAAACCTTTAGAGATATTTTATACGAACAACCTACCACCTACGCCACTATATGCAGTTTTTCATGCTGAATCCAACAAACCCTTTTCTGGGTGTTTTACACCAAAATAAATAAATTAAAAAGTAAATCTTCATTGAAAAATGAAGCATTTACCCACAACAAGGAAAAAATTGACTTTTCTGATAATTTTCTTTCAAAGAAAGGACTTAAAATTTTTCAATATAGTTATTCTTGCAGAACTCGCTGCGCTCTATCAAACTACGTCAAAATATACCAAAAAAGAATTTAGTGCGATTTTCGAATTACGCACACCTTAAGTAAAAGAATCGCAGATTTTTACAGCTCATATCTCCCTTAATAATCAATAAAATGTTGGGAAAGTTTTGCTGTATACTATAGGCATAGAATATAATAAAATGCACTAGTCAAAAGTTGTTTAGGTTCGCTTTCAATTTTTTCCACCAATTGCACCAAAAATTTGCAATTTACTCATCTATAGGGCGGGGGCAAAATTGAGATTTGGTCAAATTTTAAATTTGACCGGACAAAATTAAGATTTAATTAGAGATAAATTCAAACAATAGAAATAATTAAAATTAAAGTATAAGGACTTGTTTTTTTTTTATTAATGTTTATCCTTTTTTCCATAACACATTAAGAAATCAAAATAATTTTTAAGTTCATCGATCGTTGTTTTACGACCTCCATGAGAGACCGTTTGATGTACTTCACTTATTACATTATAATAGTTTTTATTTAAGAAGAAATGTTTTTTTTTTGATTTAATGCAATAAACAAGATCAACACCAGCAATGTTAGTTAAAATAAAATGACGCTTTACCCAGTAAATGAATTTTGGTGAAAAACCTGATGGTTTACCCTTAGCTAATAATACACATTTGACAATATCATTATAAATATTTTGTTTTATTACGCTGTTATCTCTAATCTTTTGATCTAATAAATTAAAATGTTTTTCTAATTGTTCATAAAACTGCAATTCACTATTAGTTGTTTCGATGGTTGTTAAATTCGACTGGGACATTTTTTTTATTAAATGATACTACGTAAATTTATGCTACATCTCGACGCAACCTCTAGAAAGGCAATTTCTCTTTTTTCTCAAATCCGTTTCACTTTTAGTGAAGCACGCGGTTGTTTGAATTCATCTCTAATCAAATCTTAATTTTGTCCGATCAAAATTAGAATCTCAATTTTGCCTGACAATTTTCTAGGTCATCTTGGGATTCCAATTTTGCCCCCAACATATACATGCCATCCGTTATTACTCTGCAGATCATGATCTATATCATGTTTTGCGTCTTTTCTACATTTTTTTCGCTTTAAAAACAGCGTTGAAATCCGTATTTTCATTTTAATATTGCATTTGCCATTGAATTCAAATAAATACATCGTCAATAAAAAAAAGAAAAAAAGAAGATTCATATAAAATATTCTAGAAGAAAATTTCATATGAATAAAAGATAACAGCGAAGAATATTGTTTGTTGAGATATCAACGATAAGAATTAAACGAAAAATATCATGAATGGCGTCCAATTAAAATATTTTTATGGTCAACATCAAAAATATTCTATTCGAAGAAGTTCATTGTCTTATATTAAATAGGAAAATAGCTAAAAAAGATTTCTAGCTTTTCTTGACTATTTGACTATGACATAATAAACAAAATATCTCAATGAAATCCATTTTATTTGAAATTATTTTTGAACAAGTTGAAATAGTTTCTCTGAGATTTTAAATTCATTTTGAATTTATTCAAATGAAAATAATCAGATATTTGGACTTTATACGATTGATAAGCAAATGACAAAAAATATTTAATCACTGTAAAAAGAAACAGCGTCAGATGTTTCTGCATATCATTTTAATAAAAATTAGAATCATTTGGTTTTTTGAGTCTTCATTTTCAAGATATAGAAATTTTACTAAGCCTTGTTTTTCAACGAAAAGCTATGATCTCATTCACATTACGTGAATAACTGACTTTCAATTTTAAACTCTACAGAAAAATTTTTCAACAAAAACTAGTTGATTGAACAAGTTCTAGCATTTCTAGTAGTTTTTCTTCTGCAAATATAAATCTATAAAAAAATTTACTTTTACATACGAGAGATTTTTGATTGAATATTTCATATCTTACGAGGTAAAGCCACCAACTATTTAATCCCTTTTGAGTCGAGATTATGTGTCATATGTAGACTGAGATAAGATATGAATAACCTAACAAGAGTTCGGATGATTAATTTATCGCTATGGGCATAGCTACATAGATCTTAATGAGAATAGTTTATTGTACAAATTTCAGACCTTTTCATTTGCTGCTATTCTAAAAATAAGACCATAAAATCTGCTGCTTTATATGAGTTATGCCAAAATACGCGCTACTATCATACATTTCTCTTAGGAGAGGAACAGCGACAAAGGCTGAAACATTCATAACATACAATTATCATTAAGATCTATGTGTAGATAAAATTTCAAGCCGAAATTTGAAAGTAAAGTTTTCAGATATTTCTGAGGGAGATCACAGTATTTATTTAAAACAATATTGTAAAAGTATAGTATTTCCATAGCGATAATCTAAAAAGCCCGACCTATTTTTAGGTTATTAATGGCGTATTTGAGTCTACATAGGGCATATAGTCTCATTGAACAGTTGATGACCGTTCCTCGTTAGTAGACATGATGCCAGAAAAATGACAACTTGCTCAATTAATTAATCTAACCAAGAATCGTGTGAGTGAAAAGTTTGAAGTAGAAAGTTGATTTGTAGTTTATATTAACGAATATTTTTACTGACGAAGCGACTGTATTAGTAAAATATCGTAACAACTTCGAGAATAATACACATTAGAGCCGAAAATGAATCATCGAGAAATCAGAAGAGATTGACGAACAATGTAAATATATCTTTTTTGTAAATCTTATCATAACTCTTCGCAGCATTCATTCTACAAACTGTTGGCTAGAGAATCTTTCTTCTTCTCGTATACTTCTCTCAAATATAAGTCATGAATAATAAATTTCAAAAAGAATTAATCTCTAATTTAAAATGTATCGATTGGAATAAGTCTGTTCGTTATTGGATAAATATTTTTATGCAAATAACATAAAATGTAAATTTATTTTTAGCTACATCCACTACATCCACTACATCAATAGATCGAGATCAGATACGTGAAAAAGTACTTGCTTATCTCATTTCAATGACTGTACAACTCAAATATCTTCTTGTCGAACGGTTCGAATGGCTTTTACATGTTGTTGAATACGTAAGGATTTCTTTTTTACTTTGTAGTCTTATTTTAAGTTCTCGAACATATTTTTTCTTATGTCAAAATTTTCGTCTTGTGTTTAAAAAACTATTTTCTGATTTCGATTCTCAAGATTATTACAAAAGAAAATACAAATTTTCGTTACGTATATCGAGAAACTAAGAAAGAAGCAAAGCCTAAATTTCTACTCGAGAGAATATCAAGTAGAAAACCCATTTGATTGCGTGAAGTACAATATTCGACACCTTTTTTTCTTTTCAGTCGTTATGTCGAAAAACCTTCCTAAACATGGAAGACTTCGCTATGAATTATTTGAATGAGAAAAGAACATAATTAAAATAAACATTTTAGATATGAATAATCACTCGAAAATTGAATTATGTATACCATCATATAAGAAAATTCTGAACTGTTAATTATTACTTTTCTGAACGTTACTGATTTTCAAAGAAAAAACGGATTTCAGATATCCAATTATCACATTTTTACGATCTCATTAATCCTTGTTTTTTTCGATTCGAAAAGATTTTCAGTTGTTAAGAACAATTGTCTGACTTACATTGTTACTTATGTGTAGAATAGAAGATGAAAAAAAATTGTCATGGTAATTTAGCAACTAAAAAGACATCAACCAACTAGTGCATTTCATGCAGTCAGCTGCGTCATTCGTTCTTTATTCTTGTATCTATCTTCACAATTTTCATGGCACCGTCAAATTCGAAAATTTCAGTTTTTCATTATCAATACATGTGTATATCTAGATTAGGGGATTCTATTGGATCGTTTATTATATTTGAATAAACGATGAATAGTGAATTTGATATCAAGAATGAAATCTCTTTTCAAACTTTAGTTCAATAACGATGTCTAACAGCTTTCAAATGAAATGATTCACTTGTAAAAATATATTATTTTATCAATTGTCTCATTGACATCTTACGAAGAAAAACATTAAGTCAAATTGAAATTTGTGTCAACATTTTTACGACTTTTAAACTTACTTTAGTAGAAAACCTTTAATCTTGAGATTGCATTAGTTGGTTTTCCCAAGCTCACCAAAGTACTTGATACGAGAAGTGAATTCAGATTTATTTTAAGTGCGAATCGCTTTTGTTTTTCCTGTCGCATCAACTTATACGTATCAATGGATAATATTATGGAATCGATTTGTGAAATTAAGAACTTAAAAAGTAACAACTTCGAAAAGAAAAAAATATACTCGTAATGTAATCATAATGACAGCACTCTTGATCATCTGGATTGGATTTGAGATAAGAAAAAAATGCCCGTTTTTAAAGGAAACAGACATCAAAAACAAATATTCTTTGAGTCTAGTTTCTACATGAAATTATGCATCAACATTTGGAAACAAAAGAACGAACATATTGAGTAATTTTATTCTTTTTTAAGCAAAACTGGGCAACGTTTACCCAAGTCATGCTTGAGTTGTTTGGTTTTTTTCCGTAGAAGACCTTATTTGACGATTCTTTACTCACATAGATCAAAGGAAGTGGTCAAGTCGAGCGTGACTTGGCATACTTTGGATCAATTTTCGTTCGGCTCTGTTTTTAAGTTATAACAATAACTGTCTCTAATTTATTCAGAGATTAAAAAAGAAAAGAAAATATTAATGAAAATCTAAAGTAAAAAAACCAAAATTTGAAAACTATTTAAAAATACGAGAAATAAAATCAGTGGAATAATCGAGACAGATGAATCTAGTTAATTCAGGAAGATCCATAATGTGATTTCTTGATATTAGTATTATACATCATTATTCGAACATTGGATAAGCAATTTAGGAACGCTAGTGGAGAGCGATTGTCATTAGTATCGTTGTTCAGACAAATCGAAAAAAATATTTAATAGTTGTTCTATCGATGAATTGTTGTTATACTTTTTCTCTCTCCCTATCATTTAAATATCTTTGGTTTAATTAGATGAATTAATTCAAATAGTTTAATATGATTTTTTCTCTTTAGGCATCTGACGTGCTGAGAACGAATGCATTAAGTACTGTTCAACATGCTGAGTTTTGTTTTCCGAGTATTCACTATACTGGCGATAAAAAAATCTGTGATGGCAGGCAATTTGTGCCTTTTCTGAGCAAATATATGCCTCATTTACAAACATTACGTCTTTGGCGAAGAGATGATTTTCCTTGGACATCTAGTAAGTTTATTATAAACAAAGAAATCTCTTACTAATCTAAGATAAATATTATTCTGTTCTTTTGTTTTCTTATCATTAGATTTCATTTTGTCCTTTATTAGTTAAGCCGATATTTTTATGACAATGCATAGTTCAACTTAAATTAAAAAAATATTCATTTTTTTTTATCACATCTGTTTAAGTCTTATCCAGTTTCACTTAAATTTGGATTGATAATTACGAAATATACACTTGACATTTGAGAAGTGAAATCTAATGCTTTGACAACTTTAATTTTATTTTCAAATTATTTTAAACTTCAAACAATGATTACAGTTTTTGAATGGATTCATTTTCGTTTTTTTTTGACAACTGAACTTAATAAAATAATTGTATCTTACACATTTATCATGGATTAATTATGGAAACATTGAACAAACATGTTTAAAAGAATAAAAATGATTTGAGCTCCCGAATTTCCTATAGAAATATTTTAATTTATTCATTTAACTATTTTCGATAGTGATTTTAAATTTACAAAGAAAAGAACTAGATAAATATGTACTCATAATTTCCAATAATTCGTCTGATTCATTGCTTTTTACTCGCTTAGTTACCATGGCAAATTCTTCTACTTCTTCTCAACACATGAGTCATGATTCAAGTCAGTCACTCGTTCTCAGCAGCCTCTGAGTATTATTTTCAGTCGAGAAAAAAAGTAGGCAAGATCCTGAGAATATGATTAGTGAACATCTGAAATCCGTTTTTCGAAATTCAGTGATGTTCAGAAGATATAGAAATACTGAAATTGAATAATTAACAGCTGATAATTCCTTATATGAGTATGTGTGATGATTCAATCTTAGATGAACATTTACATCTAGGATGATAAGTGCAAACATATTTTAGTTGTCGCCTAGGATAACTTAAAATCATCAGTCATGAACTCTTGAATGTCTAGAAAAAAATTTCGAATTGCCACCGAGCAATTGAAATAAATATCTGGAAAAAGGACAATTGCCAGCTGATAATTTCTTATATGGCAGTGAATGATTCATTTTTGAAGTGACCATTTATATCCTACATCTTAAACATATATATATTTTAATTATGATCTATTTTGATTCACCTCTTCTATCATACAGTCTTGAACGTCTGAAAAAGTACAAGTCCTGTTCACAGCATATTTTTTCCTATATAGAATTGAATAAATAACAAAAATGATTGCTAAAGAATAGCTTCTGTTTTTTTTAAACGTCTATTTCGAATAATCAGATCGTCTCTGAAAAATATACGTAAAGCAAATTCACATTTCACTTGGCTCTTTTCTAAAGACAACTCTTTGATAAAAACTTATTCATTTGAAATAGGGGTGTAATCAAAACTTTTCCAACGATGGTGCCTAATTTGTTATATAGAAAGTGTGAGAGAGAGTGCATACCAGGAGAATAAGTTTTTTTCATGAAAACCTTTCTTATCCGTACCACTTCCACGTGTCTTTTTACGAAGAGAGATGTACATGTACCTATTGCATTCACGTGTCTGATTTGAAAACGACCTGAAGCGATTCTTTTCGTTTTTGAAAACGAAGTGCACGTAAAAAAACCGTTTTCCATTGAAACTTTCGTCTATTTCACGAACTCATATTGGCTCACTATTTTGTTTCTCTTTATTCAAGTTCAACCGGGTTATTATGATGCAGAAAAAAGCAACAGAAGTCCATGGTCAAAGCTACAATGGCTCCGATCTCTAATAACACCGAAATCGATTGGTATATACATAGGAATACAATAATTTTATATCAGAAACTAAACGAATAATATAGTTCTATTTTGTTTTAGCACAGCATGCAGCCGTTTTTGAACAAGATCTTTGCTAGCTAGTCGAAAAATTAAAAGAATTTACTTTTCTGGATATTTATGGCGAAATTCATATAGAAAAAGTTGAACCTTATCGTTTAATGGCTCAAACTCGCTTTCCTAATAGTCGAATAAATGTTGAAGTATCAAAATTTCGTCTTTGGTTGTAATTTTCTGTTTGTTATATGCAACACCATATGAAAGTTTAAAACAATTTTCATAACTAGCTGCTTGTTTTTTTTTCTATTTTTCTTTCTTTAATATTATAAAATATCAATTCTATACTTGTGTTCAATAATCAAATATTGAAATTGCTCTCTAAATGAGAGTGTGGATGTGGGAGCTGGTATTTCCTCACTCACACACCCATTGATCACTTCTTATTTAGGTCCAGTTGAAATGTATTATACACCAGGCCTCGAAACGGGCCGCCCGGACTGGTGGACCGACCCGGCCCGGCCTGGCCCGAGCAATTCTTTCCGTCGGGTCGGGCGGGCCTAGAAAAAGACTTTACCGGGCCAGGCCAGGTAAATATTTGAGCCGGACTGCCCGACAACGAGTTGAACGTTAATTTTTCTAGAAACATCGAAAGATGCCACATGTTATTCTGATATTAATTTTACTTAAACACTTATCATCAATGCATTTCATCATTTTTTAGCGCTTTCATGTCTAAACTAACCTTATGCTTTATCAAATAAATTTCAATAGCAAGAAGCTTCTTTCCACTTGTCAAATAAGCCGTGCGGGCCCTAAAAATGGTCCGACAGGCTGAACGGGCCGGTCTAACACAAAATTAAAACTTTTTCGGGCCGGACGGGCCATTAGGACTCAAGGCCCGCTCTGGATCGTGTCTGGCCATCAAAAAGTGGCCCAATTTCGAGGCCTGTTATACACTATCAAAAATGAATCGTTTCGTTGTGAGATGAATCCAATAGATCTGAAGAAATTCAATTCTGACATCGTCTCATTCGCATGAAGATCTAGATGAAATGACGGACAAAATTCATCAGCATATGACAAATTAATTGAGGTTAACTTCAGAAATTACTTGGGTTATTTGATAAATCTTTCTCACTAGAAGAATTAGGGAAGTCTTTATTATGCATACTCCGATAGAATTTTTACATCACCTTTTGTCATTAGTAGAAAAATATGCTCACTAATTTTTAAAATTTTATTACTGAGTAAATGAAAGTGAACATATTCCAATTTTTACACCGAGAAAATTTACAGTAAGAAAATGTCTTAACATAATCAATGTAATTCTAAAGAGCCAGATTTGAATTATTTCAGAAGAACATCGTAATCGACATGATCGACTAAGTGGATATTGATGCAGTTGTTGTCGGATTAAATTTGGAAAATAAGGTGTTTCAGAGAGTAGCTGCCTAATTCGATTTCGAATATAAATGAAATTTTCCGAAAATCCTATTGTCCACAAGCAAAACATGAAGATGAATTTTATCCTAATTCGAAATTTTATAATTCAAATATTCAAATCCGAATGTTAGTAGCGTTCCCGAGATGGCTGCTCGGAATTCTGGGAATGATGGTAGCATACCTGAGATTGCTAGTAGCATTGCTAAGATTGCCAGTAGCATACCTGAGTATGTTATAATTGCACCGTAAAATGGTAGAAGGATATCTGACGATCCTAAAAGCATACCAGCCATTCGAATAAGTTTTATTACGGAGCCCCAAAGCAAACCGCAGTGTGTGGGTGTGGGTGTGAGTAGTAACATAATCTACACCCACAGCCCATAACAGTTATTGTAACCTTAACGAAACTTTTTAGCGCTCCTATACACCCGTGCACGAAAAATGATGACTGATATAAAAACTCGTTGTAAAAAATCCAACGAATAATGGTTGATAGCGAAATCAATAAAGTTTTATTTCAAAGAAAATTCTAAAAAAAAGAAAAAAAACTATTCCAAACTCGTCTGCCACATATATTCTTGTAAACAAAAAGACGCATCTTTAAAAAACTTGACCTTCGAAAAATTAGAATTAGATACATTATGTAACTTGTTTGGTACGTTAACAATTACGCAAGCTATCATCTTTTGTAACACGCGTCAAAAGATCGATTGGTTAACTGAAAAACTACGTGCGCGTAACTTAACTGTGTCTGCTCTGGTCACTTTCACCATGATAATTTTGAAATAACTATTTTTAAAGTCATAGATTGAGATAAAAATTAATTTTCTTTTCATTTTAGCATCTTGATATGGATGCAGAACAACGTAACGATGCCATTAAAGAATTTCGGACGGGTTGCAATCGAATCTTGGTAAGAACAGATATACTTGGAGACGATACTGATATTCCACAAGTCAGTCCTATGATCAACTATGATCTACCGACTAATCGTGAGAGTTATATTCATCGGTAAGAATCAATAATATCGAAAACAAATGAAATTTGTTCATTTGATTAAGTATTGGACGTAGCGGCAGATTCGGCCGACAAGGTACCGCTATCAATTTCATTACCAATGATGAACAACAAACATTAAAAAATATTGAACAATATTATATAATACACGAATTGAAGAATTGCCCATGAACATTGTCGATTTGATTTAAAAGAGAGAATTCTGTTCTTATTTTTTTTGTATTAATACAAACAGCATCGCGTTATGATCGTCTTCTGATCTTCTAATATCTATTCTAATGATATGCAAAATCAGCTCATAAATAGCTTTTATTGAATTATTTTTTATGCTCACTTTCTGATTTTGTGATGTTATGTCAGTGGAGACATCGCCTGACATAAGAAGACCCTCTTTTCCCCTGTATAATATTAAAGAAGAGAAATCGACTGGAGAAAGAAACGAGGGTATGCGTGTGTGTGTTCATAAGAGAAGCAGCTACAATCACACCCACACCCTTCAAAGTATCATTTGCTGGGCTATTTATTTTCTGGACGAAAACAAATTGCCGTTGTTCGCATGAAAAAATACTAATAAGAGTAAAATTATGTAAATCCAGGTCTCATTCGATTGCTCTCATGTAAATAATGACGACTAGCTGAATCTTACTTATATTATCCATTGCTTCTCATCTGTGCAATAATTCACATAATAAACGTGCATGGATATTTATTCTCGCGATGAAATATTATAAGAAAAAGTAGCTGTATATATATATATATATAGGGTGTGGGTGTGTGAATCTCCTTGTTACACTCATACCACCCATACCCACATCCTCGACAGTTGTTTAGCACAGGTGTATTGTTTGCGATTGACGGAATGTACATGTCGATATCATCGATGGAGGTAGAAATGCTGGTAAGAAATGATCTCATGTAATCATTAATTTCGATTCGTTGTGATCTCTTGGGAATTCTTAAAAATTGAGTCTATTTCAATCGAGTATCAATGGAATGTGTCGTTTATTACTCACACACTTGTGGCTAAGATTCTCTGAAACGTTTATTCTTAGCTCTTTACTGATCGACATGGTCCTGGTTGATACTGAGCGATAGTCGTTGTACCCCATGCTCGCATAAAAAAACATAAAAAAATAAATGATGTCGTTTGTTATTCTTTGTTCAATGATAGATGTTTTTCGCTGTTCTTCTTCCTCATCTTTATTTTTACTCAAAAGACTCCTCTGAAGAACAGAATCCAATAAATAATCGACATGATCGAACACAGATGTTCCCATTCTCCACTTATTCTTCTCCGTCAACCATCAAGACTCACTGATGTAGGGAACTAACTCGATCTGTTCGCTGATTGAATGTAATGTTCTCAAAGTTGGCGTAGAGAAAATGAAAAAAGCAGTTGAAAGGAAAGAAAGTTGATGAAAAACAGAACGAAATGAATGATCCGAATGTCAAATCCTGTAAACGAATGGATATACAATTCGAAATGAACAAAGCAGCAGCCAAAGCCGAAGAACATAACATCAAACATCTCAACAGTAGATTCTCAATCTGTCGTTTTATATTCAAGCATTGTCATTTTTTATTTCGTTTATTCTTGGTGCTCTTTAATTGATTGTTGGACATGAATTTAGTCTCCATGGATTGTTTCAAGGATGTGGGGATCTCTCTTTGCTCAATTGTGGGGATTAACAATTTATCTCCTCTGCACAGTGGAATTCTTTCAGGAGTGTATTTTATTTTGGAAAAAAACTGAGAAAAGCTGATTAAAATAAATTTATTTAAGAATTTGATTGTCCACGTAGACAACTCGTTTGATTTGGTATTGAGGTTTGTTTTGCTGAATTTGTTATCGAAAAATTTGCCTGTTAGGACTATTTTCACATCCTTCTTTTTCATCGAGTGTTCTTGCTGTTGAATAGACTTGAAGATTTAATGTTCTCAATTGCTCGATTCCCATTGTTTCAACTTTCTTTGCCGCTACTTGAACACTTCTCTGGGCTAAATAACGTTGAATTGATTTGTTAGTATTTGCTTGGATAGCTATTTGAATCTGTTGCCGTGTTCATCCAAATTGGGTAATTAACGATTGTAGAGAAGTTTCCGATACTTGCCGAATAGTTTTTTAATTGGAACTCATTTGATTTTGTAATTGATCGAGATTCTTTGTCATTTGAGTTTCTAATTTCTTGATAAATCTTCAAGCATTCGTTGATATTGCTGTTCATATTGATCAACAGTGATATTTCTTGGCTTATACTCGCATCGAGCAACCGTTTTTGTTCAACGATCAGCTGTTGAATAGCGGCTTTTTCTTGATCAGAGATGATTTTCATTTGTCCTTGAAGAATTTGATCAAAATAAAGACGAATTTGACCGACAGAAGTTGTACTGCTACTGAGATCTTCACTGAAACGGCTTTGGACACACCCGTCAACATCACTCGTTACATCAGCAATAACATCACTCTCCTCTCATCACCATGACAGAAATATTTCTTCGACCAAGCGACATTCTGAGGAGCTCGATCCAACACTCCATCATCGTGATCCGATACTTCATCTAGTAAAAGTTGAGACATATTTTCCTCTCTTATCATGAACTAAACAGAGACGAACAGACGAATATCGAGATGAAAAAGGCTGGAAATTGACCTACACGTTCGTTTCGATCAAGATTGGCACCGATATTGTGAATTTGAGCAAGCCGTCTCAAAGAGCTGACATCGATCGAAACAAGGGGAATTGCAGAAAGAAGGAAATCTTCTTTATCTGGTTGCAACACTTCACTCCGATGAGCGCAGTGGCGTTGGATTTCCTCTCTGACAATGAACTAAACAGAGATGAACAGACGAATATGGAGATGAAAAATACTCGAAATTGACCTACACGTTCGTCTCGATCACTTTGATCAGATTTATTTTGGCCACCATTCTGCAATGAAACTTGAGTTCCAACACTTGTTCGTTTTACACTCGGCCCTGACCCCATTCGGATTCTCTTCTTTTTGAGCAACGGACACACACACAGAGAACGAGACAATAAACTAAAATTTGTAACTAGGCAAACATCCGAGAGAGAAAGAGAACCTTGAATTTCGATTCACCAAAATGGAATTAAAAGAAAGAGGAATCAACCAGTGGATGAAGTGTGGATGTATATGATTTTTTCGATTGAACACACATCCTATGCTAGGGTAAAAAATTATTTATCAGTCACTTTGTAATCCAGTTTCAATATAGTCAGCTGTGTTTTTGAGGGTGTGAGTGTATGTCTTGTTCCATGTATTCCCACACCCACACCATCTAGTTGAATCAAATCGGGTATATCTCTGGTCTTTCCTTTCACGGAAGAACGAATACATTGTATGTATCAGACACGGATAACAAAAGAATTTTGAAATTTGTAAATACAAGTAAAACTGAAATTATAGTCGCTGGACATACAGAAAATGGACCTTCGAATGAATATTTATTAAGATCGGGTAGTGTTTTTGTAGATGAATGCGAAACATTGTATGTTGCTGATACATTTTATAATCGAATTCAAACATGATGACCGAATCACACGGTTGGAAAAGGAATTGCTGATGTACAACGTAACAGTAAAAACTCAGATCAACTTTTTTTCCACTTAGTGTTGCATTTGATAGCAAGGGAAATACTTTTGTCTGTGATCAGGAAAATCATCGGATTCAATTGTTTCAAATTTTACCAGAAACGAATAATTATTGATTAAGTACGTTTCTAAAATATAACTCAAACTTGAGGGTGTGGGTGCGAACTATCGTTTAACATACACCCACACCCATGGGCTATGTTCAAGACTTTTGTATTGTTGTTTTTTTGTCTTTTAATAGATCAGAATAGTCTATTATAGGTATTCACCTTGAGTGAGAACCTTTAGGCCATTTGTTCTTTACAGATTTGTCAAAGCATTTAAAATATATATTTCATGCCAATTCGTTGCTATTATTATGTTGAATCATTCAAAAACCCAACAATGTGCTCGTAGTGATGCTATTATATTATTTTTATGACGCAATATTGTTTTCAGATGACGTCATATTATCTTCTCAGTAAAGTACAGTTTTTATGTTTATTTATTCTGTTAAAGTATTGCATGACTGGGAAACAAAAACATGAATCATTCTAGACATGAATATCAAATTTCTCAGCAATTTTGCAATAAAAAAACGTTTCATTTGTACTGGTAAATTCGATTTTATTATATTATTTAAAAAACAATTAACATGTTTCCTGTGAGAATAGATCTAATAAAAAATAGCATTTAATTTTTTGAGCAGATCACAAAAGAAGAGAAGAAAAATTAACAGTTACTATACAAAAAATACACAAACTCTAGAATAAAAAAAATCTATAAAAATAATTGTTATCTAAAGTAGATCTTGTTTTTGATTTTTCTTGGATTTAGTTTTTGTGCTACTTGTAGTAGTATCTGCTGATGATGGTTCTTCTTGTTCTTCTTCTTCTTCGCCGTCGTCGTCGTCGTGAGCATCATCATTTTGGTTAGTTTCCGTTGATAGAGACCTTGTAGAATCGTAAACACCATAAGTTTGTGCCCAAAAGTCGAGATCTTCTGTAATATTTAGTTCATCTATGAAGTAGGATTTAAGTTCTTTGTAGATTGCACGGTATTGCATTGAATTTTCAGATGAATAAGCTGCTTTGACAAATTTTATTAAGGTGTCTTCAATTAATTCTAATCGTTCTTCTTCCAATACTCGACATTTTTCATAAATTCGTCTTGCTTCAACACGATAAGTTTTCTTTTCTTGCTCATATTCATCTTCAGATCGTGCAATGTCATTTTCGATTTCTTCCAATTGTTGTTCATGCTTTTTTCTGCTATTGCTTGCTTTTTCGGTTTTACTTTCCTTTACTCCATGAGTGTAGCTAAGATTTTCACATAGAATTTTTGCCTCTAACAGCGCCGCGTCTTTCTTCCTTTTTTGTTCCTTTAATTTCTCGAGTTTTTCTGATAAGTTCAATAAAACTGAACGTGCTGCTTCGAAGGAATCGATCATGTAATCTGTTCGATTATGTTTAGGGCTCGAGTTTGAACTTTTCTTTGGATAGATTCTGTTTAATTTAGTACGGCATTCGTCGATAACTTCTTGAATTGCATCATGACGAGCTTGTAAGTATTCAGCTTCTAATGAAGGTGCACAAATAGTTTTTAATTGAGCTGCTCTAGTTGTATGGTAAGATGAAAGTGTTGATTGAGCTTTCACTTTTGATTTCGATTTTTTCGAACATGATTTAAGATTGTCAATATGTTTTTGACCGCAATCGTTATAGTTTGACATGAATTTTAGCATATCTTCAATGATGTAATAGCCTCCATTGATACATTTAACAATCGATAGATAATTATCATCATCGTAAAATTTCAAATGAATAAACTCATTTGTACCGTAACCGTTATCGTGGTTCGCAGTGGTAACACGGCTACGAATAGTGTCTTTGATTCCACTAAGGTTCGACCGTTTTATTGAGTCGGTGTGACGTAAAATAACAGATTTGAATCGTGAAGCCATTATATTTTTTTTAGTAATCTGGAAATAAATAAAATCAACTTGTCAATGGGTTGTAAATTAGAATGAATGATCGTAGTCAAAATAAAAGTCAGTTTTTATGTGCTCGCTTACGGCGCCTAAGATGGAAATATCCGAAGGAGAAACAAAACAGAACAGTATCGAAAAAGGTGAATCATAAAAAAAAACTGACTGTGGTACCTGTCGAATCAATTGAAAAACAACAGAAAAAGCTACCTCAAATAACGATTTTTATCTTTCGTTTCCGCATTTTTGTTATTCTATATATATATACGCCAGACGATTACGTAACATTAGACAAGGGTAATTTCGCAATACTCTTACGCCTACAGGCACTTGGGATATTTTTCTATTAACGGTAAACCTATCAAAGAGAAACGCCCCCTCACCCCCTCCCCCATTCATGGTTGTCATCGATATTCATATACCTGTTGAGTTGGCAGTGATACAAGAAAATTTATGATTCATCTCATGGATCAAATATATGCTTCCTCTAAATCGTAATTAGTAACGTAAATGACTCATTGTTATATCTATTCAAAAATTCGTTTCTTTTCATTTTTTTTCTGTTTTCGAAATAATTCGTTACTAAGACAACCAACAATTGAAATGCAATTTATTCATTTACGTCGTAGACACTATATTCTCGTACACTCAATTTTGCAAATGTATTGATTTAAAAATATTCATTTCGTCTTGGCAATCTTTATTTTATCATAGAAATGTAAATTAGAAATTGCATAGATGTCATAATACCTTTACACTGGGTATCCAGAGTTTTACGTCACAATACCCTATGCAGCAATAGTTTATGGAGTATCCATTCTTAGTGCATCTACAATCTGATGTAACCACATTAAGCGTATCCACTTTTGGGTATCCACATTTATGTATATGCATATGTTTTGAAAAGCTGAGGAATTTGAGTTGTTTTGGTGTATCCACTTTTTGGGTATCCACTTTT